CACCGCCTTTCGGTTCCGAGTGCAGTGGACGGTGATGGGGTTTCATGCAGCTGGGTATGGCTTGAAAACAAGCCTGTTTCTCCTGCTCGTCCTCACCTCTCACCCAGCCGAGCATGGATCCTATCCCTCCCAGCGTCTGATTTCCCAGCGTGACGCTTCCCAGCGTTTAGACTATGGCCGTCCCCGCCGGCGGACCGTGCGATGGGGAGCCCGTGCTTTCCGCCCTAGACTTCCTAACGCGGGGCAAGCAGATCGCTTCTGCTGCCCCTCCGATTGCGTCGACCTCTGGTGCGGTACCTTTGCCCAACTCGGAAAATGGCGATCAACACGTGCCAGCAACCACTACCCCAACTACGCTATTATCCACTCCGATGCCTGACAACGGTGCAAATAAGAGCATCCCTCCAGTTTCGGTCGCTACCACCTCTCGCAGTGCTAACCCAGTCTTGCCTGACAGATCACTGAAGAAGCGGTATAGGCAGCGGGTTCTCACCGTCGGCCGACCGGGCGGTCCGACTCAGCCAGCACCGTCAGTTCTTCTGCGACCCGCGGAACCAGAACCCGAACCCGCGAATGAAGACTTCGAAGACCCGAAGGGCAAGCAACTGTCGGTTGAGGAGCTTCAGTTGAAGTGCAAGCAGCAGTGGCAGCGGTATTTTCCTTGGCTCCTCATCTCCGAAAACAAGGCCGGCCGCCCCTGCATGCGCTGCAGCATCTGCATGGTCTTCGGTGACCCGAACTACAAATACGGGCGCAACGGCGATGGCGGCATCGACATTCAGAAGCAGACGATGCGCAAGCATCACCACAGTCTGAAACACGAGGCCGCGGTCTCGAGGAAGGAGGAGAGCAACGGCGTGAAGAAAGTGCAGAAGTCCATTGCTGACTTCCACCGTGGGGACGCTGATGTCAAGCGTATTGCTCGCTTGATGGCTATTGTGCTGTTCATTTGCAAGTCTGACGCTCCCATTGTGCTATTCGTGGCTTTGGTTCAATTCATGGCAGAGCAGGGGACTCCGGATCTGCCCCTGAAGGAGAACGGGACGTACTACAGCGAGTAAGTGTCCCGTTTTAATTCATTGCTTTATGGTCCGTGAGTTTACAACACTAACGAGTTTTAACCGCGCGTGTCTCAGGTACGGCTTTGCACAACTGGTCGAGACCATGGTGTGCTACCTGAAGTCCCGCCAGATGAAGCACATCCGCGACAGTCCGTACCTTGGCATCCAGTTGGACGAAAGCACCAACCGACGGCGGGGGAAACACATGATCGTCTATTTGACGTTCATGCGTGACAACGCTCCCGTCACTGAGTTCTTTGCGTTGCTCAGTGTGGAGCAGTGTGACGCCGCGTCACTCACAACAGTACTCCTGACGCATCTGGAGAGCACCGGCATCGACCTCATGCGCCTCACCGGTATGGGCACTGATGGTGCTTCTGTCATGCTTGGACAGCACAACGGAGTCACCGCGCGCCTGAAAGGCAAGGTTCCTCATCTTGTGTCGTCCCACTGCATCGCGCACAGGTAAGAGTTGTTGTTTCGCGTTTACTGCCTATTATTTTTCAATATACCCGTGCTAATGTTACTTTCTGCTGTCTTGCAGGGAGGCCTTGTCGGCCAAAGATGCTGCCGCCAAGCATCCTGACTTCAACATCGTGGACAAGGTGGTCCGAGCCGTGGCTGAGAACCTTGGTCGTTCCTCTGTTAACCACGCCAGATTTCAAGAGCTTCAGGAGGTCATCTGCGAGACCCATCTTGAAGTCCAAGGCATCAAGGACGTCCGATGGCTGTCTCGTGGTGACGCCATCCAGCGCCTGGTGAAGGTGTTTCCTGCAGCAGTCATGGTATTGCACGAGACTAACAAGAAGATGTATCAAGTCGTAACGAGCTACAAGTTCCATTTTCTGCTGTTCTTCCTTTCTGACGTCTTGAAGGAGCTCAACCTTCTCAGCTTGAAGTTTCAGCGGCGTCAGGTAAGCAGATTCACGAGTTACCCGTGGCCGTTTACTTCATTTACAACCATTTGCTAAACGTCGTGCTTGTGCAACCCCGTTTACAGGTCGAGGCAACTCATGTGCTGCCGATGGTGCACAACACAACCTTACTGCTGCGCACACGCTACCTCGACTGCGACGACGCGATGTTGCTGGCACTGCTTCCGACGGCACATCGGTCAGCCATCGATACCGACTGCACGAGGAGAAAATCAAGGGGCAGACGAGTGGTGTGGACCACCAAGCGTGTTTGGGGCTGGCGCGCGAGTTCATCACGACCCTGGTCGGTCGGCTCGACTACCGCCTCAAGGATCTGTCACACCTCGACGGGGCGAAGCTGTTCAAGCAGGGATCCTATCCCAAGAACCAGGCAAAGCGTGAGCGACGGCTAGGCCAATGGCTCCAGTCTCTGCGCAACATGTTCAAGCGGAAGCCAGAAGACCCTGATACTATACCAGGTGCGTTAAATGCCGGGAATGTGCTGTATGTTTAGCGTTGTTTCCACGTGCAAATTTAAACCCTTTCACATCACCAATACCAATGTTCCCATGCGCACCCCAACCGCAGGCATCAACTGGGCGAGAGCGCAGCGGGAGCTCGTCACCTTCTCTACAATCCTGGCCACGCACCAAGAGGATGTCGGGTTTGCGGACAGCCTGAAACTCATGCTGTCCTCCCCCGACTGGGCGACATGCTACCCGAACCTCGTCCACCTGTGGATGGCTGTCGCCGTGCTGCCGCTCAGTACCGTCGAGTGCGAGCGCGGCTTTTCACGGCAGAACATCATCAAAAGCTGGCTTCGCGGGAACCTGTGTGACGCGAAGCTGGGAGAGCTGATGGCTGTGTCGCTCCTAAACTATGACATGGAGTGGCCCGAGTTGCTGAGGAGGTGGAATGCTTCCAAGAAGCGAAGGCCTGCTAATGATGTGCTGATGGCGTCCGGGGAGAGACAGAGCAAGCGTGCGAAGAAGAGATCGGCCGCAGCTGCAGCAGCAGCAGCTGCACTGGCAGCAGCAGAAGCAGCTGCTCGAGAAGCGGCCCTGGCAGCAGAAGCAGCAAGGATGGATGCTGAGTATCCGTGGCTTAGCAGGAAAGAACAGGCCACGGTCCCAGAGTCCGTGGGTAGTGAGGATGGTAGTGATAGCAATGAAGAGTGCGGCTCTAGTCACTCTGACTAGGTCCTTAGCTACTGCGTAGGTTGTTTGATAGTATGAGTAGAATTGCAGGTAGGATTACAGTAGGCTGACTTTTAACTTGGCTTTTAAATTCGTCTAGTTTATCAGACTTGAAAAATAATTCAGCTTGTAAGGCAGACCACGTCAGTTTCGTCGTCAGTGCCTAAGACGGGGAAAATTTTTTTGAGGGTACTGTCAGACAGGCCCTAAACCTAGCGAGAACCCTGGCGAAAGTCAAAGGTCAAGCGACCTTTGACCTGACAAGTACAGCGCGACAGTTAAGGACACACAACTGACTCGTTACAGAGCAGTTGCCCGAGTCGTACTGTATCGAACCGCAACAGCAACAGTAAAAGTAGTTATAACTGTATCCTTTGATATTCCCTGCATTACTATATCATCTTGTACTTTCTTGTTATAATCAATCTACTTTGCCCTCACATACTAGCGCAAGGTGGTTCACAATGTCTTCACTAAAAGCTTCCGCTATTACAATTGTCCTACCCAGAGTTCTCCTCTGCAAAGATCCTAAGGGGCTATCTCAGCCCAACAAGAGGAATACAGTTGTAACCCTACTGACCAACACTGCATGTAGTTTATATAATACATTAATCAAAAGATGATCTATCCGAAGAGCGCATCCTATGCTAAATAAATGTTAGTACGTAAGTATAGCATCCAGCAAAGCAACCCATTGTACTGAATCACCCCACCAGCTAACGCCTCTCTATATCCCACCCGTGTCACACGGGTAGTTAAACAAATCCTTTCCACAAGCCCCGGGCAGCACCGACAGCCCATTCATGCAAAACCCCGTGCTCGGGTTTAAGTTTGTAGGAAGAAAGAACCTATAATCGTCTACACCCACGGCGTTGTACTGTACAGCGGGGCTGTCATCAGAGAGGTATTCTGTACCCCAGATGCCAGAGCACAAATCCATGTTTTCATTTCCGTTATCATCGGACCAGCTGTTTAGGTTCGGGTTGACCGCAGCCTCGGAAAGCACGTGGGCAAAGTTGGAAATCAGCCCGTCGAGAATTCTGTCACCGTTGGGGTACTCGAGGCCTGCTGCCGCTGCATGCGCACACTTGGCGAGATACTGCAAGACAGGGAGGAAAAATGAGGAGGGGGGGAAGGGCAAGAAAGATGAGAAGGAGATGATTGCTGGAAAACATCTGTTGGCCGTTGCATCTGTTGGGATCTGCCTGCTGCTGCATGCGTGCGTGCACTTAGCAAGAGATGCAAGACAGGGAGTGGGGATGAGGAGGGGTAGAAGAAAAGGAAGGGGGATGAGTTAGAAAAGGTGTTGTAGGTCACGTGGGAAGCTACACAGGAGTCTGTTGTTGGGAGTGTGATGCAAGCACAACTGGTGAACGCACTCACACAATAACATGTAACAAGCACTCACCCTGTCTCAGACACACCAAATAATCACCCTCTCCCAACGCACCAAGCACTCACCCTGACACACCGAGAACTCACCCTGACACACCGAGCACTCACCTCTCAGGCATGCCGACCCACGCCCACTTGATGCTGCCGCTGACGCTGTGGAACGCACAGAATTCGGACCCAAACCCATCCACATCCACGTCAGCAGACGTGAAGATGACGGCTGTTGCGCTGTGAATGTGCAGCAAGCATATAGAGTGAACGCACCCACCCATTCGGATAAAGAAAGTGACTCACTCTCTCGGGCATGCCAACCCACGCCCACTTGATGCTGCCGCTGACGCTGTGGAGCGCACAGAAATCGGTTGTTCCAGTTTTGTAGCAAGTATACAGAGTGAGTGCACGCACACGCTCAGGTGCAAAAAGCGCCCGCCGTCTCACACACACCGACCACTCACCTTCTCGGGCATGCCAACCCACGCCCACTTGATGCTGCCGCTGACGCTGTGGAAGGCGCAAAACTCGGACCCAAATCCATCCACATCCACGTCAGCAGAGGTGAAGATGACGTAGACGGCACTGCTGATTCGCGGGAGCGACCCCGAGAGGATCTGGAAGTTGATGAGCGCGAGCAGATCGGCTTTTGTCAACGGGGTTTGCCCTGAGGCTGACGATGCAGCTGCAATGTCAATCTCCGTGTTCTGATGGGGAACAAGGGGATGGGGAACGGAAGAGAGAAGGCAGGAGGGAAGGGAGGAGAGCGATGATGGTACTGATGATCCCGAGAGGATCTGGAAGTTGATGAGGGCGAGCAGGTCGGCCTTTGTCAGAGCAGTTTGCCCTGAGGCTGATGACGCAGCTGCAATGTCAATCTCCGTGCTCTGATGGGGAACAAGGGGATATGGATGAAGGTAGTGGGGAGGGAAGGGGGTGGGAGGGGGGGGGGGGAAGGGGAGGTTACACACACAGGGAACCCTACATACACTACGGGGGACCCTAGGAGGGAAGGGGAGGTTACATACGCTGCGGGAGACGGTGGGCGTGACGTAGGTGGCGCCGGCCTTGTAGAGGCGGTTGATGTTCCACCAATCCCTTCCTGCCCTTCCCGCTCCCACCCACCGCTCTAAGAGGGAAGCAACGTACACTGCGGGAAACAGGAGAGCAACGTACGCTGCGAGAAACAGTCGCGGTGACGTAGGTGGCGCCGGCCTTGTAGAGGCGGTTGATGTTCCACCAGTCGCTGACGCTGCCGGGCTTGTTGGCGAGCGAGCGTGCTGCTTGCCCAGTCAAATCGACCAGGGAAACAACAGGGAGAATTGCACGCTTTGGGAGAGGAAAACAAGGAGAATCCCTTCCTAGGTAGGGAGGGGAGGGGAGGTTACTCACACTACGAGAAACAGTCGAGGTGACATAGGTGGCGCCGGCCTTGTAGAGGCGGTTGATGTTCCACCAGTCGCTGACGCTGCCGGGCTTGTTGGCGAGCGTGGTGTTGGAAATGGAGTCGACAAACTTCTGCACGGGCGTCTTCTGAGCGGTGGGCCACGTGCCGTGCCAGATGAGGTAGACTTCGAGAGGTTGGGACATCACGGGACCGGACTTGTATGAAATAGTCTTGGGCGCGTAGCTGGGGACTGCAATGGAGGGGAGGGAAGGCAGGGGAAACGAGGCGAGCAGCACGTGCCGTGCCAGGTGAGAAAGACTTCGAGAGGTTGCGACATTACAGGCCCGGACTTGTAGGAAATAGTCTTGGGCGCGTAGTTGGGGACTGCATGCAGGGGAGAAAAGGGACGGGGAATGAGGATAGCAGCACGTGCCGTGCCAGATGAGATAGACCTCGAGAGGTTGGGATATGACGGGACCGCTTTTATATGAGACGGTCTTGGGCGCGTAGCTGGGGACTGGCAGGGGGTGGGGGGAGGAAAGGGGGCATGGGGAGAGCAGCACATGCCGTGCCAGATGAGGTACACCTCTAGGGGCTGCGACATGACGGGCCCGCTTTTATATGAAATAGTCTTGGGTGCGTAGCTGGGGACTGGCAGAGGGCAGGGAGAGGGCGGGAGAGGAACCGGGGGAAGGGTGGGGGGAGCAGGGGGAGGGGGGAAGGAGATGGGAAAGGAGGGGGGAACGAGGGGGCGTGTCGTCAGAAATGGAGTCGACAAACTTCTGCACGAGTGCCTTCCGCGCCGCCGGCCACGTGCCGTACACCTCTTGTGGTTGAGACATGAGAGGACCGCTTTTGTATGAGACGGTCTTGGGCGCGTAGCTGGGAACTGGTGGGGGAAGGGGACGGGCCGGGGCCGGAGCAGGGGAGGGGCGGAAGGGAAGGGAGGGGAAATGAGGGGAGCAGCACGTGCCGTGCCAGATAAGGTAGACTTCTAAGGGCTGGGACATGACATGGCCACTCTTGTAGGCGACGGGCTTGGGCGCGTAGCTGGGGACTGGCAAAGAGAAAGTAGGGGAGGGTAAGGGAGGGGGAAGGGAAAAGGAATCAGGGCAGCACAGCACGTGCCGTGCCAGATGAGTTACACCTCAAGGGGCTGAGACATCATGGGACCAGACTTGTAGGCGATGGGCTTGAGCGCGTAGCTGGGGACTGGTGAGGGGGAGGGAGGGCGGGGCGGTAAAGGGAGGGGAATGAGAAGGCGTTGTGCAAGCAAGATGAGGTGCCCCTTGAGAGGCTGCGACATCACCTTGAGATGAGCCGCTCAGCCGCTCGCCACCCCAATTCCCACCCACCTCGGCCGCTGTACGGCTTCATGAGCCCGCGAGAAGACCCGCCTGTAGACTTCTTTGACGGGCCGCCCGACCCGCCGCCGCCCCACCACCACTAAAAGGGGTTGAACTGAACAACCACCCCACACCCTACCACACTCACCTCGGCCGCTGTACGGCTTCATGAGCCCGCGAGAAGACCCGCCTGTAGACTTCTTTGACGGGCCGCCCGACCCGCCGCCGCCCCACCACCACTAAAAGGGGTTGAACTGAACAACCACCCCACACCCTACCACACTCACCTCGGCCGCTGTACGGCTTCATGAGCCCGCGAGAAGACCCGCCTGTAGACTTCTTTGACGGGCCGCCCGACCCGCCGCCGCCCCACCACCACTAAAAGGGGTTGAACTGAACAACCACCCCACACCCTACCACACTCACCTCGGCCGCTGTACGGCTTCATGAGCCCGCGGGAAGACCCGCCTGTAGACTTCTTTGATGAGCCGCCTGACCCCCCGCCCCACCACCAGCGGGGGGGGCGGGGGAACCCCGTGCCTATGGTGATGCGGATGGGCGGATCCGTGCTGCTTCCGCTGCCCGTGCTGCTGCTGGTGCTGCTGCTGGTGCCGCTGCTGGTGCTGGTGCTGGTGGCGCGAAGACTTGTCGTATCTTTGGTGCTGGTGCTGGTGCTGGCAGTGCGGACGTTAATAGGACCTTCGCTGCTGGTGCTTGCAGGGTCGAAAGCAGCAGCAGCAACAGTTGCATGAGAGGGGCGAACACCTGGGGATTGACGAGGGCGAAAGGGAGAAGGGGGGAGGGGGAAAAAAGGGGGAAGGGGAGGCAGGGGAGATGGAAGAAAGGGCGGGAAGAGAAAGCGCGGAAGGAAGAAAAAGGGAGGAGCATGGGGTGAAGTGGGAGAGGAGCGAGGGGGCGGAGCGGCGGGGGAGGAACGAGGGGGCGGAGCGGGGGAGGCAGGGGGGAGCAAGAGCGAGCGAACGGACGCAGGCGCGACGAAGGGGACTGATGTCGAGGAAGGGAGTGAGGGATGGACACGAGGACGAGCGAACGAAAGCAAGACAGAAGCAACTGTGATAACTGAAAGGGGGACAGCCGCAACGTTCGCGATGCAAGGAGATGCGGAAGAGGGCGAAAAGCTACACCGCGAAAGGAGCAACGCTCTCTGCGAGCGGCTCGCTCCTCAAGAAGTTACCGAGGCGCCTCGATAAAAGGTACACCACCGCGAATACCTACCGTGCTCCCTGCTAAAATAGACGCCGAGTCGCTCCAATGCCGCTTCACCCTCTGCGCGTGAACGACGGGTGACAAGGAGGAGAGGGAGCGAGGGAAAGGCGGGGGTGAATAAGGTGGATTGCGGCGCGTCAAAACACTACTTTGATCACTCTGCACGTGAACGACGGGTGACATCGAGGAGAGGGAGCACGGGAGAGGCGGGGGTGGATTAGGTGGATACGACGGGGAAAAAGGAGAAGGGTCATAGTGAACCATGTAACTATGTGACAACGTAACCAGTGTAGAAGAGACGACAAGGAACGAGCTTTCAATCTGTCACGAGAGAGGGAAACCTGTTTCTGATTCTGCGGACACCGGGAACTACGGTTCTAGAAGTTCTTGAAGCTTCGGGAACTTTCTAGAAGGTACGAGAAGGCTCTTCTGCCAGTATTACTGTGGTTTCCGAGAACGGCGGCAGAAAGCGGCTCAAAGGGAAACGCTTGGCCAGGCCTTCCCATGCTAAGCCTGTGCAGCCTGCTCTAACGGAGCGTCGGTGGAATCATGACTAGGGGATTCTTCTCACGCAGTTAACCTATTTGTCCTTGTGGGAAGTTTCGGCGAAGCCTTTCTACCCAAAGCTTGGAAAAGGGAGTCGCGGTTAGTCTACCTTCAAGGCGCGCCGCTTCCCGTGGTGTTAAGCGCGACTCCACTCGCTGCGCGAACGGCGCCGCTGCGAGCGCCAGGAATAACAGTAGCAATGCTATTCGTCGGTGAGACATGGCGGCTCGTCTAGACTCTGTCTACAGTTCCGTCTACAGTGTACACAAAACTTGGAACAGAAACGTTCTTCGACGTTCTAGTTAGCTCTCGCTGCTGGTAAGCTACGTTAGTACTTTGCACAAGAACGTAATTAGGGTTACAAATGTTTGAACAGACACGAGTTCTGCTTGGCGCGAGCAGGGAAAACGGAGAAAACCTTGGTTCATCGCTGCGTCATTCGTTTGAATGTCGGAATTCCAAACAACTGGCGAACGACGGAAGCCATGACCGTGACGTGTTTCCTTGTTCCAGACAGAAACTGTGAATAGTAGTATAGTGGCGAGGTGACCGAAGAGGATTACTGTAGTTCAATCACGCGGTTGATGTAAGATGGGTTAGAGTAGTTTTTAGGGATTTTATGTTGTCTACGGGAGGGACAGGTCTCTCGCTCTGGGTTGGCTGGGCGAGGGGTTGTGCAGGTTTGGTTGTCGAGAACCCGATTTGCTGCGAATGCTCACCCTGCGAAGTTGGGTTCGGTTGTGAGTTCTGGAAGTTTCGAATTTTGCTGCTAGGTTGCTGTGAACTCCCAGCTTCTTGTGCGGCAGATTCATTCGGGTCGTTGTCCCAATTGCTTGTCAATCGAAAGAGTTGGCTGACGGGAACAAAACATACTGGAGAGGGGGCAGTGTGAGCAGTGTGGAGAGAGGGCATACGGTGGCTGAGTGGCACAACACAGTGCTATGCGCTGTGGCCCTGGAAAACCGCTTGGCACTGTTTTGTGGAGAATCGAACGACTTGAGGGGGGTGTGACTTGGCATGGTGCTGGTGCTCTTCATGAAAAACTCGATTAACTTTTAAGTGGTCTAGTACTTCCTGCTGTGATTCCTGAAACTTATTCCCGTATGTATGCTGCTTCATTATGTATCTGATCTTCAAAATACCATACATGCTGTTACGAATAGTAATACTTGATTATTACTGTGCACTCCTCACCGCAGCAAGAGAAGCACGCAGTATCGAGAACGAACGCGAAGAGTCAGACGGTTAGGAATTGACTCGAAGCGTCAGACAGTTACAGCACATCTGGACCGTCGGAGCAGACGGCATCGGACAGCTGCAGGCAGGATGGTTTTGGCGGGAACAGTTTCGTAACTGTACGCGCCGCACGGTTAGGAATGTATTTGAATAAGGAAATGTACCCCTTAGAGTACATGGCTAGTTAGGTCGTTTCGTATTCCCCTGTACTCTTATTTATATCGCTGTATTTGCATGTTTTAATCATCTCAAAGCATTTTACATTCACTCTGCTATTGAGGTCAAGGGCCCACCAACACTATTCTACTGCGTGCGAACCTTCCTGAGTAGATCCTGGTGGCGATCAACTTCTGATCGCAGCACATGCATCCCCAAAAACTTAAGTAGGATACACGTTTTAAAAGAATCTGCTAATTTTAAATTATAATTAAAAGAAAGGCACTGCTTTGTTATAACACATTGTCATCAGGGGCAAGCTGCTGAACATGATTATTATAGGCGATGCACGTTCTTTTTACATAGCAATAGAACTGCGAGGGGAGTATACAGATCGAAGAAAGTCGGTCTGATCAGGTACGGGTCGCGTTTGTCAGCAGTGCGTAACCAGTTCGTTACTGGCATGGACACAAAGGGGTAATGGACCTACCTGCGGCCCCAGATTTACCTGTGAATTTGGCTGGTTATCCATCTGCAGGACCCCACTCGCCCCACCTGGCCTCAACAAATCCCCATGAGTTCCATTCCTCACCAGGAAAATCGTTTCGCCATTCTCGAATACTGCTGCCTGCCACAACCTGCAGAGCGTCGGCCTATTACACAGATCCTTCTGAGCATCACCTGCCAATTTTTTCGAGACGTCGCGACGCGGACCACATTCATGGTTGCGCCAGAAGAACCACACACACGAGTGTAACGGGGCAGCTCCTATGCAATTCAAGAATATTGCTCTCCCTGCCCAATGTTACGGCAATTCTGCCTCTACCTGACCTGTGTAAGTAACCACTCAGTGAAGTAGAACAGACGTGAATCACACTTACCAAAACACGACTTCTCCTAACCATGGTTCGAGTGTAGGATAGGAAGTCGCACACTCTTTACGGGTTCGCTTCCATAACCTTTGGGGTGGACTTCGTAAAAACAAAACACCACACACACAACTTTGGGAAACCTGAAGTTCACCACGGTGTACATACATGCTTCACTGATATGAACCCTGGTCGTTTCCTCGTTGTTTGGCTCCACCTCTCTATCAGCCTCCAGCCACCCACTCACCTGCGCGACCAAACGCCATTCCCTTCCCTCCTCCCACCCAGCTCGTCGTCAATTGTCAAGCTTCTCAAGCCCAGTTCAGCCACACCAAGAGATTAGACAGAACGAAAACAAAGTAGCCAGTAGCAAGCTTCGTTGAACCAGCAACTATAGTACCTAGAACAATCTGCGCGCGGATTTGTAGACACTCAAGGCAAAAATGGGTCGCCGGCGGACTGCGATTCTCCTCTCACTGGTGGCTCTGGTCGTCACTTTCACCCTCCTCCCACAAGCCGAGTCGGGGTCGAAGTTAGGTAATAAGAACATATGACGTGCGGTTGTGGCGCCTTAGAGCATTGAAACTCTTTGTGACGTTTCATCGATACATCCGACTAGCTTTGAGATGCTCGAAGAGCGTTCGAACAGTTGTACCGCGCTGAGAAAGTCCACAAGCCAATGGTCGTGTGCTTGCAGCGCCCTGGCTCTAAACCGCACGCGCGACCAGTTATTTTCTACGCTGTGCTTCTAACCACCCGCAGTGTGCAACTGCTCTCTTAATTGCAGCAGCTCCGCTCGTCAATCTTTTCTTAGTTTCTTTCTTCTTTTTTGTAACGTGTGTCTTCGGTTCGCCTGTCTGTCTCCAACTCCCTAAACCGTTTTCTCCTTTTCCTCTTGGGGCTTGTGTGTGTGTTCTCTTCCTCCTCCCCCCCGCCCACCTCCTCCCTCCCCGTGTTCCCCGCGTGCTCCCCCTGTTCTCCCCGCGTGTTCCCCGCGCCCCTTGCCTCCCCTGTCCTGCAGTTAAGGGCAAGACGACCGCTTCCACCACTGGATCCAACGCTCCCGGCGTTCACGTGCGCATCACCATCGGCGGAAACACCGGCGGCGGTAGCGGCAGCGGCAGTGGCAGTGGCAGTGGGAGTGGTAGCGGGAGCGGAAGCGGTAGGGGCGGCGGCGTGCGGTCGCGGTCGGCGGGTTCGGGGAGGAATCCAGGGTTCATGCGAACGTATACCGGCAAGAGTGAGTAAAGCTACCGCCTCGACCCGGCTCGTGCCTGCCCGCTGGGTTTAATCTTTCCGACTCACGTTCCCGCAGTAACTTTTGAGTCTACTCGGTTTCCTTCTTTCTTTCCAACTTTCTTTCTCTCGAACTTGTCGACGAGCATCCTCGCCCGCCCCTATCTGTTGTGGCTCGTCGACGTGTCGCTTTCGAACCTAGCCACGCGCCCAGGCCCATCTCGTGCAAAATTCCCCCACGTAATATCTCTTCTATTCCCCTTTTCTCCCCCTCTCTCCGATGCCTCTTCCCCTCCCTCTCCCCCTTGCCAGTCCCCAGCTACGCGCCCAAGGCCATTTCGTACAAGAGCGGCCCGGTGATGTCCCAACCCCTTGAGGTCTACCTCATCTGGCACGGCACGTGGCCGTTGTCGCAGAAAACTCCCGTGCAGAAGTTTGTCGATTCCATTTCCGACACCACGCTCGCCAACAAGCCCGGCAGCGTCAGCGACTGGTGGAACATTAACCGCCTCTACAAGGCCGGCGCCACCTACGTCACGCCCACCGTCTCCCGCAGCGTACGTCCTCCCTTCTGGTTTGCCGAATTTAATTTCCCACGCATTTGTGTGCTTTATCAACAATAGTCTACGTCTGCACATGTAATTTTATTTCTCATACTTATTCTCATATATTATTTCTCATACTTATTCTCATACTTCTTTATTTCTGCACTTATTCTCATACTTTCGCAATTTTATTTATACTTCAACTGATTCTCATATTTTGTAACGAACTGTGTTCAACAGAACACGGAGATCAACATCTTAGCCGCGTCATCAGCCTCGGGCCAGAAACCCCTGAAGAAAGCTGAGCTGTTGGCTCTTATCAACTTCCAAATTCTGTCGGGATCGCTGCCGCGAATCAGCAGCGCCGTCTACGTCATCCTCACTTCGGCTGAGGTGGATGTCGACGGATTTGGCAGCGACTTCTGTGCGTTCCACGATTACAGCGGGAGCATCAAGTGGATGTGGGTCGGCATGCCCGAGAGGGTGAGTGGGCTTGGCTCTAGCTGAAAAAAAATCCCTTATCGCAATTCTGTCCTATCCTTCCAATCATTTACTCGCTTTACCTGTCACCCTGAAAATAAACTTATTATTGCTGTTTTCTTTTTTTCCTCGCCTTCTTCCAGTACCTGTCGAGGTGCGCGCATCAAGCGGCGGCAGGCCTCGAGTACCCCAACGGCGACAGAATTCTTGACGGGCTGATTTCCAACTTCGCCCACGTGCTTTCGGAGACGGTGGTTAACCCTAACCTCAACAGCTGGTCGGACGATAACGGAAACGAAAACATGGATCTGTGCCAGGACATCTGGGGCACCGAATACCTCACTGATGACAGCCCCGCTGTACAGTACAACGCTGTGGGTGTAGACGACTACAAATTCTTCCTGCCTACGAACCTCAATCCCACCACCGGGTTTTGCATGAACGGGCTGTCTGTGCTCCCTGGTGTGTGCGGGAAGGAGCTTTTCAACTACCCGTGCGACGCTGGTGGCCTGTAGGTGGACTGCACCTAACAGTTCATTCATTTATCCTTACAGACGTTTATATGTACTGTAATGAGCTTGGGTGGGAAGGATGGCAACGTGGGTAGGACATGGCTGGTGTCATCTGGGTGATGGCATGTTTTCTCGAATCCTCTCTTCTTTTTGCTTATGTATTGTATGAGGCTGTTTCGAGGGAATGGCCTGCTGGACAATTGTTTTGTTCTTCCCTTACACCCTTGGCTATGTTTGCTATCAATTTCATGAATAAGGGTTTGGTGGCTAATTGCTACAGTTTTGCTGGTGATTTTGACCTTGGTGAGTCCCCTGTAGCATACATACCGCTCAAATTCGAACCCTTGTCCAGTTCTCCGGTTTGTGCAATTGTTGCTTAATGCTACATAGGACACTGAACAGGACCTATACAATGATGTGCCATTATTGTTTCGAGGGCAGATGACCTTTTGTTACGCTGTGGACCTCAGAATTGGGTTCATTTTGAAGACATACTGTAATCACTCTGTACTTCAGTGACATTTGAGTTACCGGTATGTATAACATCGACCTCGAGTCATGAACCATTTACAACACCCCCCCACACAATTACCTACAGCCTACGATTACATCATACCCTTCTAAAAGATGTGAGAATTTCCCAAGGCAAGGCCCCCTTGGGATATTCCACACTGCCAAGCCAACTCACTCAAACCACTGCTTGCTTGTATGGTATTCCAGTCCTCCTACCAGGTACTCCAAGAGCACCGCTGCTGCTGCCGGCACTGTTGCTGCAAGTTGTCACCCTGCTGCACAAGCACCACCACCTGCCCCTCAGTACTACCCTTCCCCTCTCCCCCACCGCCTACTCACTCGAATCGCTGCTCGCCTCTATGCCACTCCTTGCATTTGCTATTTGAAAAACTGAGAGAATTCCCCAAGCCCACCTTGGAATATCCCGCTCTGGCCCTGGCTGTCTCCCTGCTGCGGCAATTCAGCCTGACCCTCCTGGCTCTTCCCCGCTCCCTTCTCCCCCACCACCAACTCACCCAAATGGTCAAACCGCTGATCACTTGAAGAACTGCGAGAATTTCCCAAGCGCCCCTGGAATATCGCGCTCTGGCCCTGCTTTTCACCCTGCTGCATCAGCCCCCCACCTCCTGCTTTTTTAACAAACCCTCACTTGAAGAACTGTGAGAACTTCCCAAGGGCACCCTGGAATATACCACTCTGGCCCTGGTTGTCACCCTGCTGCGGCAATTCAGAATGACCCTCCAACCTTGCCTTCTCCCCCAACGCAGCAGAGGCAGCGGTGCTAGTGGTTGCAGAGGGGTGCTTGGGAATCTCATTGCTTCCTCCCCATTTTCCTGGCTGCCCTACTGTGTGAGAGCGTGTAACACCAGCCAGGGTAACCTGGTTACCAGCAGCAGCAACGGTAGCAGCAGCAGCACCACCAGCAGAAGAAGCAGAAGCAGCGGGACCGGTTTCAGCAAAGGGAGCCATGACAGTGTTACCAGAAACCGTGTAACCAGCAACTCTGTACTCGTTAGGAGCAGCTCCAATAACAGTACCAGCTCCAATTACAGGAGCAGCGGCAGCACGGAGCTCTGGTGATGGATTGTCGGAGGAGTGCGAGCGAGCAACAGAGGGGCGAAGCGGGGAGTGAGTGGGGCGACCCTTGAAACTCCCACCAGCCGCACCGGCAGCACCGGCAGCACCAGCAGCGGCATTAGCAGCAGCTGTAGCAGCATCTGTAGCAGTAGCTGTAGCAGCTGTAGCGGAGCCGGCAGCGGCAAAGAGAGGGTCTAGTTTCAGGGTGGGGGGTGGGGAGGAGGCGATGGGGGAGGGAGCGTTGAACGAGGGCGTGGCAAAGGAGGGCAGGTGGTGCAGAGGGGAGTTGTCTGGCGTGCGCTGAGCTGCAGGGGTAGAGTGGGGTGGGACGGAGGGGTGGAGCAGGATTGGAAAAAAGTATCAGCAGGAGGGAGTGGTGAAGGAGGGCAGGTGTGCAGAGGGGAGTTATCTGGCGTGCGCTGAGCTGCAGGGGTGGGGTGGGAGGGAGGACGTGGAACAGCAGTATTGGGAAAGGTGAAATTGGGTAAGTTAGTCATGTCACGAGGGGTGGAACGAGGGAGTGGCGAAGGAGGGCAGGTGGTGCAGAGGTGAGTTGTCTGGCGTGCGCTGGGCTGCAGGGGTGGGGTGGGAGGGGTGGAGCAGGACTGGGGAGATTGGGAAATGGATAAGTTAATGATGTGGGTGGGAGTATCAGATCAGCAGGAGGGAGTGGCGAAGGAGGGCAGGTGGTGCAGGGGGGAGTTGTCAGGCGTGCGCTGAGCTGTCGGGGGAAGAGAAGGGACAGGGGGAAAGGAGCAGTGGAGCTTGATTGACAAGAGGGGGCATTGAAGGAGAGAGTGCCAAAGGAGGGCTCTTCCTGCTCTATCCCACCCTTCAAACCCTCATATTTGAGAATTCTCAAAAGTCACACGAATATGGAGGGCTCGTACTGCTCTATCCCACCCTTCAAACCCTCATCACTTATGGTAGAATATATGCGCCTTGTAACGTCTTCCAGCCTTCACTGTATTGTGTGGCAGCAGCACCCACTTGAATCACCTGAGCTGCTGTTTCTACCACACACCCCTTTTCACTCACAGTAGAATATCTGCGCCTTGTAACGTCTTCCAGCCTTCACTGTATCGTGCGGCAGCAGCAGCACCTCTGGGTCGTTCTCATGCAGCCGCAGCAACCTCTTGCTGCTCTTACTACTGCTCTCATCCCCCTTCAAACCCAGCCCACTCACGGTAGAATCTCTGTGCCTTGTAACATCTTCCAGCCTTGACTGTGTCGTGCGGCAACAGCAGCACCTCTGGATCGTTTTCATGCAGCCGCAGCGACCTACCCACGCCCTCCCCCTCTCCCAACACCCTATCACTCACGGTAGAATATCTGTGCCTTGTAGCGTCTTCCAGCCTTGACAGTGTCGTGCGGCAGCAGCAGCACCTCTGGGTCGTTCTCATGCAGTCGTAGGGACCTCTTATTGCTGCTGCTAATGCCGCTGCTGTTGCTGTTGCTGCTGTTGGTGTTGCTTTGAGACCTACTGCCGTTAGCAGAAGCACCAGTGGTCGCACTAGCATCACCACCAGCACCACCAGACGCAGCAGTTGTCGCAGCAGCACCATCACCAGCGCCACCACCGGCAGCACCACTAGCACCAGCGCCATCACAACCATCACCACCACCACCCACTGTGCTGGAGCCGCTCACAGCAGGGAGCAGGATGAGCTTCGCCAGCCGGCCGCAGTGGTCCGACAGCTTGCGGTGCACCTCCCTCAGTGACAGCCCCGCCTCCACGTCCCTCGTGCTGCCGTCTGGGAGCTCTATGGTGGCGGTTGAGAGCTGTGGAGCGAGGTCTTGAGACAGAGCGGCTGTGCCTTGAGGCACCCCTGCCAGCATGGAGGCTAGCGGCCCTGCAGAGAAGAAGGGGCGAGGGAGGGAGGGGAGAGAAGGAGGCGTCTGGGAGCTCCATGGTGACTGCTGTGAGGGGTGGTAGTACCGTGGGGTCTTGAGACATAGCCGCTGTGCCTTGATGCACGCCTGCCAGCATGGAAGCTAGCGGCCCTGCAGAGCAGAAGGGGCGAGGGAGGGAGAGAGGGGAGAGAAGGAGGCGTCTTGGAGCTCTGTGGTGGCGTCTGGGAGCTCTGTGGTGGCGTCTGGGAGCTCTGTGGTGGCGTCTGGGAACTCTGTGGTGGCGTCTGGGAGCTCTGTGGTGGTAACAAGCGTCGGCCTGCAAGACGTCCCGAGGGTGGAAGAGCACATCGGCATCGTGAGCAGTGGCATCGTGAGCAGTGGCATCGTGAGCAGTGGCATCGTGAGCAGTGGCATCGTGAGCAGTGGCATCGTGAGCAGTGGCATCGTGAGCAGTGGCATCGTGAGCAGTGGCATCGTGAGCAGTGGCATCGTGAGCAGTGGCATCGTGAGCAGTGGCATCGTGAGCAGTGGCATCGTGAGCAGCGGCATCGTGAGCAGCGGCATCGTGAGCAGTGGCATCATGAGCAGCGGCATCATGAGCAGTGGCATCGTGAGCAGTGGCATCGTGAGCAGTGGCATCGTGAGCAGTGGCATCGTGAGCAGTGGCATCGTGAGCAGTGGCATCGTGAGCAGTGGCATCGTGAGCAGTGGCATCGTGAGCAGTGGCATCGTGAGCAGTGGCATCGTGAGCAGTGGCATCGTGAGCAGTGGCATCGTGAGCAGTGGCATCGTGAGCAGTGGCATCGTGAGCAGTGGCATCGTGAGCAGTGGCATCGTGAGCAGTGGCATCGTGAGCAGTGGCATCGTGAGCAGTGGCATCGTGAGCAGTGGCATCGTGAGCAGTGGCATCGTGAGCAGTGGCATCGTGAGCAGTGGCATCGTGAGCAGTGGCATCGTGAGCAGTGGCATCGTGAGCAGTGGCATCGTGAGCAGTGGCATCGTGAGCAGTGGCATCGTGAGCAGTGGCATCGTGAGCAGTGGCATCGTGAGCAGTGGCATCGTGAGCAGTGGCATCGTGAGCAGTGGCATCGTGAGCAGTGGCATCGTGAGCAGTGGCATCGTGAGCAGTGGCATCGTGAGCAGTGGCATCGTGAGCAGTGGCATCGTGAGCAGTGGCATCGTGAGCAGTGGCATCGTGAGCAGTGGCATCGTGAGCAGTGGCATCGTGAGCAGTGGCATCGTGAGCAGTGGCATCGTGAGCAGTGGCATCGTGAGCAGTGGCATCGTGAGCAGTGGCATCGTGAGCAGTGGCATCGTGAGCAGTGGCATCGTGAGCAGTGGCATCGTGAGCAGTGGCATCGTGAGCAGTGGCATCGTGAGCAGTGGCATCGTGAGCAGTGGCATCGTGAGCAGTGGCATCGTGAGCAGTGGCATCGTGAGCAGTGGCATCGTGAGCAGTGGCATCGTGAGCAGTGGCATCGTGAGCAGTGGCATCGTGAGCAGTGGCATCGTGAGCAGTGGCATCGTGAGCAGTGGCATCGTGAGCAGTGGCATCGTGAGCAGTGGCATCGTGAGCAGTGGCATCGTGAGCAGTGGCATCGTGAGCAGTGGCATCGTGAGCAGTGGCATCGTGAGCAGTGGCATCGTGAGCAGTGGCATCGTGAGCAGTGGCATCGTGAGCAGTGGCATCGTGAGCAGTGGCATCGTGAGCAGTGGCATCGTGAGCAGTGGCATCGTGAGCAGTGGCATCGTGAGCAGTGGCATCGTGAGCAGTGGCATCGTGAGCAGTGGCATCGTGAGCAGTGGCATCGTGAGCAGTGGCATCGTGAGCAGTGGCATCGTGAGCAGTGGCATCGTGAGCAGTGGCATCGTGAGCAGTGGCATCGTGAGCAGTGGCATCGTGAGCAGTGGCATCGTGAGCAGTGGCATCGTGAGCAGTGGCATCGTGAGCAGTGGCATCGTGAGCAGTGGCATCGTGAGCAGTGGCATCGTGAGCAGTGGCATCGTGAGCAGTGGCATCGTGAGCAGTGGCATCGTGAGCAGTGGCATCGTGAGCAGTGGCATCGTGAGCAGTGGCATCGTGAGCAGTGGCATCGTGAGCAGTGGCATCGTGAGCAGTGGCATCGTGAGCAGTGGCATCGTGAGCAGTGGCATCGTGAGCAGTGGCATCGTGAGCAGTGGCATCGTGAGCAGTGGCATCGTGAGCAGTGGCATCGTGAGCAGTGGCATCGTGAGCAGTGGCATCGTGAGCAGTGGCATCGTGAGCAGTGGCATCGTGAGCAGTGGCATCGTGAGCAGTGGCATCGTGAGCAGTGGCATCGTGAGCAGTGGCATCGTGAGCAGTGGCATCGTGAGCAGTGGCATCGTGAGCAGTGGCATCGTGAGCAGTGGCATCGTGAGCAGTGGCATCGTGAGCAGTGGCATCGTGAGCAGTGGCATCGTGAGCAGTGGCATCGTGAGCAGTGGCATCGTGAGCAGTGGCATCGTGAGCAGTGGCATCGTGAGCAGTGGCATCGTGAGCAGTGGCATCGTGAGCAGTGGCATCGTGAGCAGTGGCATCGTGAGCAGTGGCATCGTGAGCAGTGGCATCGTGAGCAGTGGCATCGTGAGCAGTGGCATCGTGAGCAGTGGCATCGTGAGCAGTGGCATCGTGAGCAGTGGCATCGTGAGCAGTGGCATCGTGAGCAGTGGCATCGTGAGCAGTGGCATCGTGAGCAGTGGCATCGTGAGCAGTGGCATCGTGAGCAGTGGCATCGTGAGCAGTGGCATCGTGAGCAGTGGCATCGTGAGCAGTGGCATCGTGAGCAGTGGCATCGTGAGCAGTGGCATCGTGAGCAGTGGCATCGTGAGCAGTGGCATCGTGAGCAGTGGCATCGTGAGCAGTGGCATCGTGAGCAGTGGCATCGTGAGCAGTGGCATCGTGAGCAGTGGCATCGTGAGCAGTGGCATCGTGAGCAGTGGCATCGTGAGCAGTGGCATCGTGAGCAGTGGCATCGTGAGCAGTGGCATCGTGAGCAGTGGCATCGTGAGCAGTGGCATCGTGAGCAGTGGCATCGTGAGCAGTGGCATCGTGAGCAGTGGCATCGTGAGCAGTGGCATCGTGAGCAGTGGCATCGTGAGCAGTGGCATCGTGAGCAGTGGCATCGTGAGCAGTGGCATCGTGAGCAGTGGCATCGTGAGCAGTGGCATCGTGAGCAGTGGCATCGTGAGCAGTGGCATCGTGAGCAGTGGCATCGTGAGCAGTGGCATCGTGAGCAGTGGCATCGTGAGCAGTGGCATCGTGAGCAGTGGCATCGTGAGCAGTGGCATCGTGAGCAGTGGCATCGTGAGCAGTGGCATCGTGAGCAGTGGCATCGTGAGCAGTGGCATCGTGAGCAGTGGCATCGTGAGCAGTGGCATCGTGAGCAGTGGCATCGTGAGCAGTGGCATCGTGAGCAGTGGCATCGTGAGCAGTGGCATCGTGAGCAGTGGCATCGTGAGCAGTGGCATCGTGAGCAGTGGCATCGTGAGCAGTGGCATCGTGAGCAGTGGCATCGTGAGCAGTGGCATCGTGAGCAGTGGCATCGTGAGCAGTGGCATCGTGAGCAGTGGCATCGTGAGCAGTGGCATCGTGAGCAGTGGCATCGTGAGCAGTGGCATCGTGAGCAGTGGCATCGTGAGCAGTGGCATCGTGAGCAGTGGCATCGTGAGCAGTGGCATCGTGAGCAGTGGCATCGTGAGCAGTGGCATCGTGAGCAGTGGCATCGTGAGCAGTGGCATCGTGAGCAGTGGCATCGTGAGCAGTGGCATCGTGAGCAGTGGCATCGTGAGCAGTGGCATCGTGAGCAGTGGCATCGTGAGCAGTGGCATCGTGAGCAGTGGCATCGTGAGCAGTGGCATCGTGAGCAGTGGCATCGTGAGCAGTGGCATCGTGAGCAGTGGCATCGTGAGCAGTGGCATCGTGAGCAGTGGCATCGTGAGCAGTGGCATCGTGAGCAGTGGCATCGTGAGCAGTGGCATCGTGAGCAGTGGCATCGTGAGCAGTGGCATCGTGAGCAGTGGCATCGTGAGCAGTGGCATCGTGAGCAGTGGCATCGTGAGCAGTGGCATCGTGAGCAGTGGCATCGTGAGCAGTGGCATCGTGAGCAGTGGCATCGTGAGCAGTGGCATCGTGAGCAGTGGCATCGTGAGCAGTGGCATCGTGAGCAGTGGCATCGTGAGCAGTGGCATCGTGAGCAGTGGCATCGTGAGCAGTGGCATCGTGAGCAGTGGCATCGTGAGCAGTGGCATCGTGAGCAGTGGCATCGTGAGCAGTGGCATCGTGAGCAGTGGCATCGTGAGCAGTGGCATCGTGAGCAGTGGCATCGTGAGCAGTGGCATCGTGAGCAGTGGCATCGTGAGCAGTGGCATCGTGAGCAGTGGCATCGTGAGCAGTGGCATCGTGAGCAGTGGCATCGTGAGCAGTGGCATCGTGAGCAGCGGCATCAATAGAGCGGCATCGTGAGCATCGGCATCGTGAGCAGTGGCATCGTGAGCAGTGGCATCGTGAGCAGTGGCATCGTGAGCAGTGGCATCGTGAGCAGTGGCATCGTGAGCAGTGGCATCGTGAGCAGTGGCATCGTGAGCAGTGGCATCGTGAGCAGTGGCATCGTGAGCAGTGGCATCGTGAGCAGTGGCATCGTGAGCAGTGGCATCGTGAGCAGTGGCATCGTGAGCAGTGGCATCGTGAGCAGTGGCATCGTGAGCAGTGGCATCGTGAGCAGTGGCATCGTGAGCAGTGGCATCGTGAGCAGTGGCATCGTGAGCAGTGGCATCGTGAGCAGTGGCATCGTGAGCAGTGGCATCGTGAGCAGTGGCATCGTGAGCAGTGGCATCGTGAGCAGTGGCATCGTGAGCAGCGGCATCGTGAGCAGCGGCATCGTGAGCATCGGCATCGTGAGCAGCGGCATCGTGAGCATCGGCATCGTGAGCAGTGGCATCGTGAGCAGTGGCATCGTGAGCAGTGGCATCGTGAGCAGTGGCATCGTGAGCAGTGGCATCGTGAGCAGTGGCATCGTGAGCAGTGGCATCGTGAGCAGTGGCATCGTGAGCAGTGGCATCGTGAGCAGTGGCATCGTGAGCAGTGGCATCGTGAGCAGTGGCATCGTGAGCAGTGGCATCGTGAGCAGTGGCATCGTGAGCAGTGGCATCGTGAGCAGTGGCATCGTGAGCAGTGGCATCGTGAGCAGTGGCATCGTGAGCAGTGGCATCGTGAGCAGTGGCATCGTGAGCAGTGGCATCGTGAGCAGTGGCATCGTGAGCAGTGGCATCGTGAGCAGTGGCATCGTGAGCAGTGGCATCGTGAGCAGTGGCATCGTGAGCAGTGGCATCGTGAGCAGTGGCATCGTGAGCAGTGGCATCGTGAGCAGTGGCATCGTGAGCAGTGGCATCGTGAGCAGTGGCATCGTGAGCAGTGGCATCGTGAGCAGTGGCATCGTGAGCAGTGGCATCGTGAGCAGTGGCATCGTGAGCAGTGGCATCGTGAGCAGTGGCATCGTGAGCAGTGGCATCGTGAGCAGTGGCATCGTGAGCAGTGGCATCGTGAGCAGTGGCATCGTGAGCAGTGGCATCGTGAGCAGTGGCATCGTGAGCAGTGGCATCGTGAGCAGTGGCATCGTGAGCAGTGGCATCGTGAGCAGTGGCATCGTGAGCAGTGGCATCGTGAGCAGTGGCATCGTGAGCAGTGGCATCGTGAGCAGTGGCATCGTGAGCAGTGGCATCGTGAGCAGTGGCATCGTGAGCAGTGGCATCGTGAGCAGTGGCATCGTGAGCAGTGGCATCGTGAGCAGTGGCATCGTGAGCAGTGGCATCGTGAGCAGTGGCATCGTGAGCAGTGGCATCGTGAGCAGTGGCATCGTGAGCAGTGGCATCGTGAGCAGTGGCATCGTGAGCAGTGGCATCGTGAGCAGTGGCATCGTGAGCAGTGGCATCGTGAGCAGTGGCATCGTGAGCAGTGGCATCGTGAGCAGTGGCATCGTGAGCAGTGGCATCGTGAGCAGTGGCATCGTGAGCAGTGGCATCGTGAGCAGTGGCATCGTGAGCAGTGGCATCGTGAGCAGTGGCATCGTGAGCAGTGGCATCGTGAGCAGTGGCATCGTGAGCAGTGGCATCGTGAGCAGTGGCATCGTGAGCAGTGGCATCGTGAGCAGTGGCATCGTGAGCAGTGGCATCGTGAGCAGTGGCATCGTGAGCAGTGGCATCGTGAGCAGTGGCATCGTGAGCAGTGGCATCGTGAGCAGTGGCATCGTGAGCAGTGGCATCGTGAGCAGTGGCATCGTGAGCAGTGGCATCGTGAGCAGTGGCATCGTGAGCAGTGGCATCGTGAGCAGTGGCATCGTGAGCAGTGGCATCGTGAGCAGTGGCATCGTGAGCAGTGGCATCGTGAGCAGTGGCATCGTGAGCAGTGGCATCGTGAGCAGTGGCATCGTGAGCAGTGGCATCGTGAGCAGTGGCATCGTGAGCAGTGGCATCGTGAGCAGTGGCATCGTGAGCAGTGGCATCGTGAGCAGTGGCATCGTGAGCAGTGGCATCGTGAGCAGTGGCATCGTGAGCAGTGGCATCGTGAGCAGTGGCATCGTGAGCAGTGGCATCGTGAGCAGTGGCATCGTGAGCAGTGGCATCGTGAGCAGTGGCATCGTGAGCAGTGGCATCGTGAGCAGTGGCATCGTGAGCAGTGGCATCGTGAGCAGTGGCATCGTGAGCAGTGGCATCGTGAGCAGTGGCATCGTGAGCAGTGGCATCGTGAGCAGTGGCATCGTGAGCAGTGGCATCGTGAGCAGTGGCATCGTGAGCAGTGGCATCGTGAGCAGTGGCATCGTGAGCAGTGGCATCGTGAGCAGTGGCATCGTGAGCAGTGGCATCGTGAGCAGTGGCATCGTGAGCAGTGGCATCGTGAGCAGTGGCATCGTGAGCAGTGGCATCGTGAGCAGTGGCATCGTGAGCAGTGGCATCGTGAGCAGTGGCATCGTGAGCAGTGGCATCGTGAGCAGTGGCATCGTGAGCAGTGGCATCGTGAGCAGTGGCATCGTGAGCAGTGGCATCGTGAGCAGTGGCATCGTGAGCAGTGGCATCGTGAGCAGTGGCATCGTGAGCAGTGGCATCGTGAGCAGTGGCATCGTGAGCAGTGGCATCGTGAGCAGTGGCATCGTGAGCAGTGGCATCGTGAGCAGTGGCATCGTGAGCAGTGGCATCGTGAGCAGTGGCATCGTGAGCAGTGGCATCGTGAGCAGTGGCATCGTGAGCAGTGGCATCGTGAGCAGTGGCATCGTGAGCAGTGGCATCGTGAGCAGTGGCATCGTGAGCAGTGGCATCGTGAGCAGTGGCATCGTGAGCAGTGGCATCGTGAGCAGTGGCATCGTGAGCAGTGGCATCGTGAGCAGTGGCATCGTGAGCAGTGGCATCGTGAGCAGTGGCATCGTGAGCAGTGGCATCGTGAGCAGTGGCATCGTGAGCAGTGGCATCGTGAGCAGTGGCATCGTGAGCAGTGGCATCGTGAGCAGTGGCATCGTGAGCAGTGGCATCGTGAGCAGTGGCATCGTGAGCAGTGGCATCGTGAGCAGTGGCATCGTGAGCAGTGGCATCGTGAGCAGTGGCATCGTGAGCAGTGGCATCGTGAGCAGTGGCATCGTGAGCAGTGGCATCGTGAGCAGTGGCATCGTGAGCAGTGGCATCGTGAGCAGTGGCATCGTGAGCAGTGGCATCGTGAGCAGTGGCATCGTGAGCAGTGGCATCGTGAGCAGTGGCATCGTGAGCAGTGGCATCGTGAGCAGTGGCATCGTGAGCAGTGGCATCGTGAGCAGTGGCATCGTGAGCAGTGGCATCGTGAGCAGTGGCATCGTGAGCAGTGGCATCGTGAGCAGTGGCATCGTGAGCAGTGGCATCGTGAGCAGTGGCATCGTGAGCAGTGGCATCGTGAGCAGTGGCATCGTGAGCAGTGGCATCGTGAGCAGTGGCATCGTGAGCAGCGGCATCGTGAGCAGCGGCATCGTGAGCATCGGCATCGTGAGCAGCGGCATCGTGAGCAGCGGCATCGTGAGCAGCGGCATCGTGAGCAGCAGCGGCATCGTGAGCAGTGGCATCGTGAGCAGTGGCATCGTGAGCAGTGGCATCGTGAGCAGTGGCATCGTGAGCAGTGGCATCGTGAGCAGTGGCATCGTGAGCAGTGGCATCGTGAGCAGTGGCATCGTGAGCAGTGGCATCGTGAGCAGTGGCATCGTGAGCAGTGGCATCGTGAGCAGTGGCATCGTGAGCAGTGGCATCGTGAGCAGTGGCATCGTGAGCAGTGGCATCGTGAGCAGTGGCATCGTGAGCAGTGGCATCGTGAGCAGTGGCATCGTGAGCAGTGGCATCGTGAGCAGTGGCATCGTGAGCAGTGGCATCGTGAGCAGTGGCATCGTGAGCAGTGGCATCGTGAGCAGTGGCATCGTGAGCAGTGGCATCGTGAGCAGTGGCATCGTGAGCAGTGGCATCGTGAGCAGTGGCATCGTGAGCAGTGGCATCGTGAGCAGTGGCATCGTGAGCAGTGGCATCGTGAGCAGTGGCATCGTGAGCATGGCATCGTGAGCATGGCATCGTGAGCAGCGGCATCGTGAGCAGCGGCATCGTGAGCAGCGCATCGTGAGCAGTGGCATCGTGAGCAGTGGCATCGTGAGCAGTGGCATCGTGAGCAGTGGCATCGTGAGCAGTGGCATCGTGAGCAGTGGCATCGTGAGCAGTGGCATCGTGAGCAGTGGCATCGTGAGCAGTGGCATCGTGAGCAGTGGCATCGTGAGCAGTGGCATCGTGAGCAGTGGCATCGTGAGCAGTGGCATCGTGAGCAGTGGCATCGTGAGCAGTGGCATCGTGAGCAGTGGCATCGTGAGCAGTGGCATCGTGAGCAGTGGCATCGTGAGCAGTGGCATCGTGAGCAGTGGCATCGTGAGCAGTGGCATCGTGAGCAGTGGCATCGTGAGCAGTGGCATCGTGAGCAGTGGCATCGTGAGCAGTGGCATCGTGAGCAGTGGCATCGTGAGCAGTGGCATCGTGAGCAGTGGCATCGTGAGCAGTGGCATCGTGAGCAGTGGCATCGTGAGCAGTGGCATCGTGAGCAGTGGCATCGTGAGCAGTGGCATCGTGAGCAGTGGCATCGTGAGCAGTGGCATCGTGAGCAGTGGCATCGTGAGCAGTGGCATCGTGAGCAGTGGCATCGTGAGCAGTGGCATCGTGAGCAGTGGCATCGTGAGCAGTGGCATCGTGAGCAGTGGCATCGTGAGCAGTGGCATCGTGAGCAGTGGCATCGTGAGCAGTGGCATCGTGAGCAGTGGCATCGTGAGCAGTGGCATCGTGAGCAGTGGCATCGTGAGCAGTGGCATCGTGAGCAGTGGCATCGTGAGCAGTGGCATCGTGAGCAGTGGCATCGTGAGCAGTGGCATCGTGAGCAGTGGCATCGTGAGCAGTGGCATCGTGAGCAGTGGCATCGTGAGCAGTGGCATCGTGAGCAGTGGCATCGTGAGCAGTGGCATCGTGAGCAGTGGCATCGTGAGCAGTGGCATCGTGAGCAGTGGCATCGTGAGCAGTGGCATCGTGAGCAGTGGCATCGTGAGCAGTGGCATCGTGAGCAGTGGCATCGTGAGCAGTGGCATCGTGAGCAGTGGCATCGTGAGCAGTGGCATCGTGAGCATCGTCGTGAGCAGTGGCATCGTGAGCAGTGGCATCGTGAGCAGTGGCATCGTGAGCAGTGGCATCGTGAGCAGTGGCATCGTGAGCAGTGGCATCGTGAGCAGTGGCATCGTGAGCAGTGGCATCGTGAGCAGTGGCATCGTGAGCAGTGGCATCGTGAGCAGTGGCATCGTGAGCAGTGGCATCGTGAGCAGTGGCAGTGGCATCGTGAGCAGTGGCATCGTGAGCAGTGGCATCGTGAGCAGTGGCATCGTGAGCAGTGGCATCGTGAGCAGTGGCATCGTGAGCAGTGGCATCGTGAGCAGTGGCATCGTGAGCAGTGGCATCGTGAGCAGTGGCATCGTGAGCAGTGGCATCGTGAGCAGTGGCATCGTGAGCAGTGGCATCGTGAGCAGTGGCATCGTGAGCAGTGGCATCGTGAGCAGTGGCATCGTGAGCAGTGGCATCGTGAGCAGTGGCATCGTGAGCAGTGGCATCGTGAGCAGTGGCATCGTGAGCAGTGGCATCGTGAGCAGTGGCATCGTGAGCAGTGGCATCGTGAGCAGTGGCATCGTGAGCAGTGGCATCGTGAGCAGTGGCATCGTGAGCAGTGGCATCGTGAGCAGTGGCATCGTGAGCAGTGGCATCGTGAGCAGTGGCATCGTGAGCAGTGGCATCGTGAGCAGTGGCATCGTGAGCAGTGGCATCGTGAGCAGTGGCATCGTGAGCAGTGGCATCGTGAGCAGTGGCATCGTGAGCAGTGGCATCGTGAGCAGTGGCATCGTGAGCAGTGGCATCGTGAGCAGTGGCATCGTGAGCAGTGGCATCGTGAGCAGTGGCATCGTGAGCAGTGGCATCGTGAGCAGTGGCATCGTGAGCAGTGGCATCGTGAGCAGTGGCATCGTGAGCAGTGGCATCGTGAGCAGTGGCATCGTGAGCAGTGGCATCGTGAGCAGTGGCATCGTGAGCAGTGGCATCGTGAGCAGTGGCATCGTGAGCAGTGGCATCGTGAGCAGTGGCATCGTGAGCAGTGGCATCGTGAGCAGTGGCATCGTGAGCAGTGGCATCGTGAGCAGTGGCATCGTGAGCAGTGGCATCGTGAGCAGTGGCATCGTGAGCAGTGGCATCGTGAGCAGTGGCATCGTGAGCAGTGGCATCGTGAGCAGTGGCATCGTGAGCAGTGGCATCGTGAGCAGTGGCATCGTGAGCAGTGGCATCGTGAGCAGTGGCATCGTGAGCAGTGGCATCGTGAGCAGTGGCATCGTGAGCAGTGGCATCGTGAGCAGTGGCATCGTGAGCAGTGGCATCGTGAGCAGTGGCATCGTGAGCAGTGGCATCGTGAGCAGTGGCATCGTGAGCAGTGGCATCGTGAGCAGTGGCATCGTGAGCAGTGGCATCGTGAGCAGTGGCATCGTGAGCAGTGGCATCGTGAGCAGTGGCATCGTGAGCAGTGGCATCGTGAGCAGTGGCATCGTGAGCAGTGGCATCGTGAGCAGTGGCATCGTGAGCAGTGGCATCGTGAGCAGTGGCATCGTGAGCAGTGGCATCGTGAGCAGTGGCATCGTGAGCAGTGGCATCGTGAGCAGTGGCATCGTGAGCAGTGGCATCGTGAGCAGTGGCATCGTGAGCAGTGGCATCGTGAGCAGTGGCATCGTGAGCAGTGGCATCGTGAGCAGTGGCATCGTGAGCAGTGGCATCGTGAGCAGTGGCATCGTGAGCAGTGGCATCGTGAGCAGTGGCATCGTGAGCAGTGGCATCGTGAGCAGTGGCATCGTGAGCAGTGGCATCGTGAGCAGTGGCATCGTGAGCAGTGGCATCGTGAGCAGTGGCATCGTGAGCAGTGGCATCGTGAGCAGTGGCATCGTGAGCAGTGGCATCGTGAGCAGTGGCATCGTGAGCAGTGGCATCGTGAGCAGTGGCATCGTGAGCAGTGGCATCGTGAGCAGTGGCATCGTGAGCAGTGGCATCGTGAGCAGTGGCATCGTGAGCAGTGGCATCGTGAGCAGTGGCATCGTGAGCAGTGGCATCGTGAGCAGTGGCATCGTGAGCAGTGGCATCGTGAGCAGTGGCATCGTGAGCAGTGGCATCGTGAGCAGTGGCATCGTGAGCAGTGGCATCGTGAGCAGTGGCATCGTGAGCAGTGGCATCGTGAGCAGTGGCATCGTGAGCAGTGGCATCGTGAGCAGTGGCATCGTGAGCAGTGGCATCGTGAGCAGTGGCATCGTGAGCAGTGGCATCGTGAGCAGTGGCATCGTGAGCAGTGGCATCGTGAGCAGTGGCATCGTGAGCAGTGGCATCGTGAGCAGTGGCATCGTGAGCAGTGGCATCGTGAGCAGTGGCATCGTGAGCAGTGGCATCGTGAGCAGTGGCATCGTGAGCAGTGGCATCGTGAGCAGTGGCATCGTGAGCAGTGGCATCGTGAGCAGTGGCATCGTGAGCAGTGGCATCGTGAGCAGTGGCATCGTGAGCAGTGGCATCGTGAGCAGTGGCATCGTGAGCAGTGGCATCGTGAGCAGTGGCATCGTGAGCAGTGGCATCGTGAGCAGTGGCATCGTGAGCAGTGGCATCGTGAGCAGTGGCATCGTGAGCAGTGGCATCGTGAGCAGTGGCATCGTGAGCAGTGGCATCGTGAGCAGTGGCATCGTGAGCAGTGGCATCGTGAGCAGTGGCATCGTGAGCAGTGGCATCGTGAGCAGTGGCATCGTGAGCAGTGGCATCGTGAGCAGTGGCATCGTGAGCAGTGGCATCGTGAGCAGTGGCATCGTGAGCAGTGGCATCGTGAGCAGTGGCATCGTGAGCAGTGGCATCGTGAGCAGTGGCATCGTGAGCAGTGGCATCGTGAGCAGTGGCATCGTGAGCAGTGGCATCGTGAGCAGTGGCATCGTGAGCAGTGGCATCGTGAGCAGTGGCATCGTGAGCAGTGGCATCGTGAGCAGTGGCATCGTGAGCAGTGGCATGAGAGATTGCATCGTGAGCAGTGGCATCGTGAGCAGTGGCATCGTGGAGTGGCAGTGGCATGCAGTGAGCAGTGGCATCGTGAGCAGTGGCATCGTGAGCAGTGGCATCGTGAGCAGTGGCATCGTGAGCAGTGGCATCGTGAGCAGTGGCATCGTGAGCAGTGGCATCGTGAGCAGTGGCATCGTGAGCAGTGGCATCGTGAGCAGTGGCATCGTGAGCAGTGGCATCGTGAGCAGTGGCATCGTGAGCAGTGGCATCGTGAGCAGTGGCATCGTGAGCAGTGGCATCGTGAGCAGTGGCATCGTGAGCAGTGGCATCGTGAGCAGTGGCATCGTGAGCAGTGGCATCGTGAGCAGTGGCATCGTGAGCAGTGGCATCGTGAGCAGTGGCATCGTGAGCAGTGGCATCGTGAGCAGTGGCATCGTGAGCAGTGGCATCGTGAGCATGGCATCGTGAGCATGGCATCGTGAGCAGTGGCATTGGAGCGTGAGTGGCATCGTGAGCAGTGGCATCGTGAGCAGTGGCATCGTGAGCAGTGGCATCGTGAGCAGTGGCATCGTGAGCAGTGGCATCGTGAGCAGTGGCATCGTGAGCAGTGGCATCGTGAGCAGTGGCATCGTGAGCAGTGGCATCGTGAGCAGTGGCATCGTGAGCAGTGGCATCGTGAGCAGTGGCATCGTGAGCAGTGGCATCGTGAGCAGTGGCATCGTGAGCAGTGGCATCGTGAGCAGCGGCATCGTGAGCAGCGGCATCGTGAGCAGCGGCATCGTGAGCAGCGCATCGTGAGCAGTGGCATCGTGAGCAGTGGCATCGTGAGCAGTGGCATCGTGAGCAGTGGCATCGTGAGCAGTGGCATCGTGAGCAGTGGCATCGTGAGCAGTGGCATCGTGAGCAGTGGCATCGTGAGCAGTGGCATCGTGAGCAGTGGCATCGTGAGCAGTGGCATCGTGAGCAGTGGCATCGTGAGCAGTGGCATCGTGAGCAGTGGCATCGTGAGCAGTGGCATCGTGAGCAGTGGCATCGTGAGCAGTGGCATCGTGAGCAGTGGCATCGTGAGCAGTGGCATCGTGAGCAGTGGCATCGTGAGCAGTGGCATCGTGAGCAGTGGCATCGTGAGCAGTGGCATCGTGAGCAGTGGCATCGTGAGCAGTGGCATCGTGAGCAGTGGCATCGTGAGCAGTGGCATCGTGAGCAGTGGCATCGTGAGCAGTGGCATCGTGAGCAGTGGCATCGTGAGCAGTGGCATCGTGAGCAGTGGCATCGTGAGCAGTGGCATCGTGAGCAGTGGCATCGTGAGCAGTGGCATCGTGAGCAGTGGCATCGTGAGCAGTGGCATCGTGAGCAGTGGCATCGTGAGCAGTGGCATCGTGAGCAGTGGCATCGTGAGCAGTGGCATCGTGAGCAGTGGCATCGTGAGCAGTGGCATCGTGAGCAGTGGCATCGTGAGCAGTGGCATCGTGAGCAGTGGCATCGTGAGCAGTGGCATCGTGAGCAGTGGCATCGTGAGCAGTGGCATCGTGAGCAGTGGCATCGTGAGCAGTGGCATCGTGAGCAGTGGCATCGTGAGCAGTGGCATCGTGAGCAGTGGCATCGTGAGCAGTGGCATCGTGAGCAGTGGCATCGTGAGCAGTGGCATCGTGAGCAGTGGCATCGTGAGCAGTGGCATCGTGAGCAGTGGCATCGTGAGCAGTGGCATCGTGAGCAGTGGCATCGTGAGCAGTGGCATCGTGAGCAGTGGCATCGTGAGCAGTGGCATCGTGAGCAGTGGCATCGTGAGCAGTGGCATCGTGAGCAGTGGCATCGTGAGCAGTGGCATCGTGAGCAGTGGCATCGTGAGCAGTGGCATCGTGAGCAGTGGCATCGTGAGCAGTGGCATCGTGAGCAGTGGCATCGTGAGCAGTGGCATCGTGAGCAGTGGCATCGTGAGCAGTGGCATCGTGAGCAGTGGCATCGTGAGCATTTGCATCGTGAGCAGTGGCATCGTGAGCAGTGGCATCGTGAGCAGTGGCATCGTGAGCAGTGGCATCGTGAGCAGTGGCATCGTGAGCAGTGGCATCGTGAGCAGTGGCATCGTGAGCAGTGGCATCGTGAGCAGTGGCATCGTGAGCAGTGGCATCGTGAGCAGTGGCATCGTGAGCAGTGGCATCGTGAGCAGTGGCATCGTGAGCAGTGGCATCGTGAGCAGTGGCATCGTGAGCAGTGGCATCGTGAGCAGTGGCATCGTGAGCAGTGGCATCGTGAGCAGTGGCATCGTGAGCAGTGGCATCGTGAGCAGTGGCATCGTGAGCAGTGGCATCGTGAGCAGTGGCATCGTGAGCAGTGGCATCGTGAGCAGTGGCATCGTGAGCAGTGGCATCGTGAGCAGTGGCATCGTGAGCAGTGGCATCGTGAGCAGTGGCATCGTGAGCAGTGGCATCGTGAGCAGTGGCATCGTGAGCAGTGGCATCGTGAGCAGTGGCATCGTGAGCAGTGGCATCGTGAGCAGTGGCATCGTGAGCAGTGGCATCGTGAGCAGTGGCATCGTGAGCAGTGGCATCGTGAGCAGTGGCATCGTGAGCAGTGGCATCGTGAGCAGTGGCATCGTGAGCAGTGGCATCGTGAGCAGTGGCATCGTGAGCAGTGGCATCGTGAGCAGTGGCATCGTGAGCAGTGGCATCGTGAGCAGTGGCATCGTGAGCAGTGGCATCGTGAGCAGTGGCATCGTGAGCAGTGGCATCGTGAGCAGTGGCATCGTGAGCAGTGGCATCGTGAGCAGTGGCATCGTGAGCAGTGGCATCGTGAGCAGTGGCATCGTGAGCAGTGGCATCGTGAGCAGTGGCATCGTGAGCAGTGGCATCGTGAGCAGTGGCATCGTGAGCAGTGGCATCGTGAGCAGTGGCATCGTGAGCAGTGGCATCGTGAGCAGTGGCATCGTGAGCAGTGGCATCGTGAGCAGTGGCATCGTGAGCAGTGGCATCGTGAGCAGTGGCATCGTGAGCAGTGGCATCGTGAGCAGTGGCATCGTGAGCAGTGGCATCGTGAGCAGTGGCATCGTGAGCAGTGGCATCGTGAGCAGTGGCATCGTGAGCAGTGGCATCGTGAGCAGTGGCATCGTGAGCAGTGGCATCGTGAGCAGTGGCATCGTGAGCAGTGGCATCGTGAGCAGTGGCATCGTGAGCAGTGGCATCGTGAGCAGTGGCATCGTGAGCAGTGGCATCGTGAGCAGTGGCATCGTGAGCAGTGGCATCGTGAGCAGTGGCATCGTGAGCAGTGGCATCGTGAGCAGTGGCATCGTGAGCAGTGGCATCGTGAGCAGTGGCATCGTGAGCAGTGGCATCGTGAGCAGTGGCATCGTGAGCAGTGGCATCGTGAGCAGTGGCATCGTGAGCAGTGGCATCGTGAGCATTTGCATCGTGAGCAGTGGCATCGTGAGCAGTGGCATCGTGAGCAGTGGCATCGTGAGCAGTGGCATCGTGAGCAGTGGCATCGTGAGCAGTGGCATCGTGAGCAGTGGCATCGTGAGCAGTGGCATCGTGAGCAGTGGCATCGTGAGCAGTGGCATCGTGAGCAGTGGCATCGTGAGCAGTGGCATCGTGAGCAGTGGCATCGTGAGCAGTGGCATCGTGAGCAGTGGCATCGTGAGCAGTGGCATCGTGAGCAGTGGAGCAGTGGCATCGTGAGCAGTGGCATCGTGAGCAGTGGCATCGTGAGCAGTGGCATCGTGAGCATTTGCATCGTGAGCAGTGGCATCGTGAGCAGTGGCATCGTGAGCAGTGGCATCGTGAGCAGTGGCATCGTGAGCAGTGGCATCGTGAGCAGTGGCATCGTGAGCAGTGGCATCGTGAGCAGTGGCATCGTGAGCAGTGGCATCGTGAGCAGTGGCATCGTGAGCAGTGGCATCGTGAGCAGTGGCATCGTGAGCAGTGGCATCGTGAGCAGTGGCATCGTGAGCAGTGGCATCGTGAGCAGTGGCATCGTGAGCAGTGGCATCGTGAGCAGTGGCATCGTGAGCAGTGGCATCGTGAGCAGTGGCATCGTGAGCAGTGGCATCGTGAGCAGTGGCATCGTGAGCAGTGGCATCGTGAGCAGTGGCATCGTGAGCAGTGGCATCGTGAGCAGTGGCATCGTGAGCAGTGGCATCGTGAGCAGTGGCATCGTGAGCAGTGGCATCGTGAGCAGTGGCATCGTGAGCAGTGGCATCGTGAGCAGTGGCATCGTGAGCAGTGGCATCGTGAGCAGTGGCATCGTGAGCAGCGGCATCGTGAGCAGCGGCATTGTGAGCAGTGGCATCGTGAGCAGTGGCATCGTGAGCAGTGGCATCGTGAGCAGTGGCATCGTGAGCAGTGGCATCGTGAGCAGTGGCATCGTGAGCAGTGGCATCGTGAGCAGTGGCATCGTGAGCAGTGGCATCGTGAGCAGTGGCATCGTGAGCAGTGGCATCGTGAGCAGTGGCATCGTGAGCAGTGGCATCGTGAGCAGTGGCATCGTGAGCAGTGGCATCGTGAGCATTTGCATCGTGAGCAGTGGCATCGTGAGCAGTGGCATCGTGAGCAGTGGCATCGTGAGCATGGCAGCGTGAGCAGTGGCATCGTGAGCAGTGGCATCGTGAGCAGTGGCATCGTGAGCAGTGGCATCGTGAGCAGTGGCATCGTGAGCAGTGGCATCGTGAGCAGTGGCATCGTGAGCAGTGGCATCGTGAGCAGTGGCATCGTGAGCAGTGGCATCGTGAGCAGTGGCATCGTGAGCAGTGGCATCGTGAGCAGTGGCATCGTGAGCAGTGGCATCGTGAGCAGTGGCATCGTGAGCAGTGGCATCGTGAGCAGTGGCATCGTGAGCAGTGGCATCGTGAGCAGTGGCATCGTGAGCAGTGGCATCGTGAGCAGTGGCATCGTGAGCAGTGGCATCGTGAGCAGTGGCATCGTGAGCAGTGGCATCGTGAGCAGTGGCATCGTGAGCAGTGGCATCGTGAGCAGTGGCATCGTGAGCAGTGGCATCGTGAGCAGTGGCATCGTGAGCAGTGGCATCGTGAGCAGTGGCATCGTGAGCAGTGGCATCGTGAGCAGTGGCATCGTGAGCAGTGGCATCGTGAGCAGTGGCATCGTGAGCAGTGGCATCGTGAGCAGTGGCATCGTGAGCAGTGGCATCGTGAGCAGTGGCATCGTGAGCAGTGGCATCGTGAGCAGTGGCATCGTGAGCAGTGGCATCGTGAGCAGTGGCATCGTGAGCAGTGGCATCGTGAGCAGTGGCATCGTGAGCAGTGGCATCGTGAGCAGTGGCATCGTGAGCAGTGGCATCGTGAGCAGTGGCATCGTGAGCAGTGGCATCGTGAGCAGTGGCATCGTGAGCAGTGGCATCGTGAGCAGTGGCATCGTGAGCAGTGGCATCGTGAGCAGTGGCATCGTGAGCAGTGGCATCGTGAGCAGTGGCATCGTGAGCAGTGGCATCGTGAGCAGTGGCATCGTGAGCAGTGGCATCGTGAGCAGTGGCATCGTGAGCAGTGGCATCGTGAGCAGTGGCATCGTGAGCAGTGGCATCGTGAGCAGTGGCATCGTGAGCAGTGGCATCGTGAGCAGTGGCATCGTGAGCAGTGGCATCGTGAGCAGTGGCATCGTGAGCAGTGGCATCGTGAGCATTTGCATCGTGAGCAGTGGCATCGTGAGCAGTGGCATCGTGAGCAGTGGCATCGTGAGCAGTGGCATCGTGAGCAGTGGCATCGTGAGCAGTGGCATCGTGAGCAGTGGCATCGTGAGCAGTGGCATCGTGAGCAGTGGCATCGTGAGCAGTGGCATCGTGAGCAGTGGCATCGTGAGCAGTGGCATCGTGAGCAGTGGCATCGTGAGCAGTGGCATCGTGAGCAGTGGCATCGTGAGCAGTGGCATCGTGAGCAGTGGCATCGTGAGCAGTGGCATCGTGAGCAGTGGCATCGTGAGCAGTGGCATCGTGAGCAGTGGCATCGTGAGCAGTGGCATCGTGAGCAGTGGCATCGTGAGCAGTGGCATCGTGAGCAGTGGCATCGTGAGCAGTGGCATCGTGAGCAGTGGCATCGTGAGCAGTGGCATCGTGAGCAGTGGCATCGTGAGCAGTGGCATCGTGAGCAGTGGCATCGTGAGCAGTGGCATCGTGAGCAGTGGCATCGTGAGCAGTGGCATCGTGAGCAGTGGCATCGTGAGCAGTGGCATCGTGAGCAGTGGCATCGTGAGCAGTGGCATCGTGAGCAGTGGCATCGTGAGCACGGCATCGTGAGCAGTGGCATCGTGAGCAGTGGCATCGTGAGCAGTGGCATCGTGAGCAGTGGCATCGTGAGCAGTGGCATCGTGAGCAGTGGCATCGTGAGCAGTGGCATCGTGAGCAGTGGCATCGTGAGCAGTGGCATCGTGAGCAGTGGCATCGTGAGCAGTGGCATCGTGAGCAGTGGCATCGTGAGCAGTGGCATCGTGAGCAGTGGCATCGTGAGCAGTGGCATCGTGAGCAGTGGCATCGTGAGCAGTGGCATCGTGAGCAGTGGCATCGTGAGCAGTGGCATCGTGAGCAGTGGCATCGTGAGCAGTGGCATCGTGAGCAGCGGCATCGTGAGCAGCGGCATCGTGAGCAGCGGCATCGTGAGCAGCGGCATCGTGAGCATGGCATCGTGAGCAGCAGCATCGTGAGCAGTGGCATCGTGAGCAGTGGCATCGTGAGCAGTGGCATCGTGAGCAGTGGCATCGTGAGCAGTGGCATCGTGAGCAGTGGCATCGTGAGCAGTGGCATCGTGAGCAGTGGCATCGTGAGCAGTGGCATCGTGAGCAGTGGCATCGTGAGCAGTGGCATCGTGAGCAGTGGCATCGTGAGCAGTGGCATCGTGAGCAGTGGCATCGTGAGCAGTGGCATCGTGAGCAGTGGCATCGTGAGCAGTGGCATCGTGAGCAGTGGCATCGTGAGCAGTGGCATCGTGAGCAGTGGCATCGTGAGCAGTGGCATCGTGAGCAGTGGCATCGTGAGCAGTGGCATCGTGAGCAGTGGCATCGTGAGCAGTGGCATCGTGAGCAGTGGCATCGTGAGCAGTGGCATCGTGAGCAGTGGCATCGTGAGCAGTGGCATCGTGAGCAGTGGCATCGTGAGCAGTGGCATCGTGAGCAGTGGCATCGTGAGCAGTGGCATCGTGAGCACGGCATCGTGAGCAGTGGCATCGTGAGCAGTGGCATCGTGAGCAGTGGCATCGTGAGCAGTGGCATCGTGAGCAGTGGCATCGTGAGCAGTGGCATCGTGAGCAGTGGCATCGTGAGCAGTGGCATCGTGAGCAGTGGCATCGTGAGCAGTGGCATCGTGAGCAGTGGCATCGTGAGCAGTGGCATCGTGAGCAGTGGCATCGTGAGCAGTGGCATCGTGAGCAGTGGCATCGTGAGCAGTGGCATCGTGAGCAGTGGCATCGTGAGCAGTGGCATCGTGAGCAGTGGCATCGTGAGCAGTGGCATCGTGAGCAGTGGCATCGTGAGCAGTGGCATCGTGAGCAGTGGCATCGTGAGCAGTGGCATCGTGAGCAGTGGCATCGTGAGCAGTGGCATCGTGAGCAGTGGCATCGTGAGCAGTGGCATCGTGAGCAGTGGCATCGTGAGCAGTGGCATCGTGAGCAGTGGCATCGTGAGCAGTGGCATCGTGAGCAGTGGCATCGTGAGCAGTGGCATCGTGAGCAGTGGCATCGTGAGCAGTGGCATCGTGAGCAGTGGCATCGTGAGCAGTGGCATCGTGAGCAGTGGCATCGTGAGCAGTGGCATCGTGAGCAGTGGCATCGTGAGCAGTGGCATCGTGAGCAGTGGCATCGTGAGCAGTGGCATCGTGAGCAGTGGCATCGTGAGCAGTGGCATCGTGAGCAGTGGCATCGTGAGCAGTGGCATCGTGAGCAGTGGCATCGTGAGCAGTGGCATCGTGAGCAGTGGCATCGTGAGCAGTGGCATCGTGAGCAGTGGCATCGTGAGCAGTGGCATCGTGAGCAGTGGCATCGTGAGCAGTGGCATCGTGAGCAGTGGCATCGTGAGCAGTGGCATCGTGAGCAGTGGCATCGTGAGCAGTGGCATCGTGAGCAGTGGCATCGTGAGCAGTGGCATCGTGAGCAGTGGCATCGTGAGCAGTGGCATCGTGAGCAGTGGCATCGTGAGCAGTGGCATCGTGAGCAGTGGCATCGTGAGCAGTGGCATCGTGAGCAGTGGCATCGTGAGCAGTGGCATCGTGAGCAGTGGCATCGTGAGCAGTGGCATCGTGAGCAGTGGCATCGTGAGCAGTGGCATCGTGAGCAGCAGCATCGTGAGGAGCAGCATCGTGAGCAGTGGCATCGGGAGCAGCACGGTAACAAAGCAAGCGCCCGCCTGCAACCCATCCTGTGGGCGAAACAGTACATCGGCATCATCGGCAGCAGCACCGGGAGCAGCAGTGCTGGTTGGCACTACCAGCACAGGGCCCACACCTCTCAGAAAGCAGAACACACGCACCTCTGACCGGCTCAGCACGGTAACAGGCGCCCGCCTGTAACACGTCCTGTGGGCGAAACAGCACATCAGCATCATCGGCAGCACCGGGAGCAGCAGCGCTGGCACCACCATCGCCATGCGTTGCGGCAGTGCGTGCATGACTGCTGGTGTGAGGTTGCGTGACGAGGAAGTAGCGGCGTCCGTCGCAGAGGGTGGGGTGCTGGCGCCACAGCTGCTGCAGCGTGGTTCCCCCAGGTACCTCCTCAATGCGCCCATCACACGCTATTCGAGCAAACCTATTGAACACGAAATGGGACGAGAGAGGGATGAAAGGAAGGAGGTGAGAATGCAGAGAGTGGGGTGTCGGCGCCACAGCTGCTGCAGTGTTGTTCCCCCAGGTACTTCCTCAACGCGCCCGTTACACGATATTCGCGCAAACCTGGGGAGCAGGAGAGATAGTGAGGAGAAAAGAGAGAGAAGCAAGGAGGTGAGAGGGTAGGTTGTAGGCGCCACAGCTGCTGCAGTGTCGTGCCTCTGGAGGAGAGAGAGATGGAAGGAGGAGCAGCGAGCGAGTGGAAAAAAAAGTGATCATTGCAGTTCACCATCTCACCACCCATTGCCACCTAACCCAACTTACGAGAGCGATGCGAATGTGAGGTGAGAAGACAGCGAGTGCTCCGCGCCCTTTCCCCACACCTCCCCCTCATCGCCCCCTCCTCTCACCACCCCCTCCTCTCAGCAGCCGCCGACCCCACATCACTATGAGGTGACTTTTGAGTCGACTCAAAAGTCTTCTCAAAAGTCACCTCAGCAGCCGCCCACCCCACATCACTGCCTCTCTCTCACCACCCGTGGTCCCCCATTCAACTGACGAGAGCGATGCGAACGCAAGGTGAGAAGACAACGAGTTTTCCGCGCCTTCCCCCTCATCTCCCCCTCCTCCCGTCCCCTTTCCCCTCGCTGCCACTCCTGCTCCTGAATGCTCTGGCCCTGCAAGGGGTTAACAAAGGACATGGAGGAAAGCGACGTGCAAACATTAAGGGCCCAACACTCACCCAAACAGCAGTGCGCGCGGTATCTCAAGCCTGCTCTCAGACGCCCCCCCCCCCAAAACAGCACCTCCACCTTGGCGCTCGCACTCCACACCCCACCTTCTGTCCCCTCCGCCCCCACTCTCTCCCCCCCACACCACCACTCACCCAGCCAGCAGTGTGCGCGGTACCTCAGCCCCGCCCATAGCCTGTCGTCCCCCCATCAACCAACCTCACATCCCACCCATCCCCATATTCCCTTACCCTTTCCCTTCTGCCAACAAAGACTCACCCAGCCAGAAGTGCGCGCAGTATCTCAACCCCGCTCTCAGCCTGTCTCTCCCCATCAACCGAACTTTTGAGTCGACTCAAAAGTCACCTCGCCACATATCATCTATTTCCCCTCTGACAGTCTCACCACTCACCCAGCCAGCAGTGCGCGCGGTATCTCAACCCCGCTCTCAGCCTGTCTCCCCCCTGAAACAGCACCTCCACCTTGGCACTCGCGCGCTCCACGCCCCACCTTCCGCCCCTTCCGCCCCTCACTCCTTCCCCCCGGCACCTGCACTTGACCCCTTACTCTCCCCCCCTCTCCCCCCACCACCACTCACCCAGCCAGCAGTGCGCGCGGTATCTCAACCCCGCTCTCAGCCTGTCCCCTCCCCGAAACAGCACTTACCTTTAGGCCCCTACTTGAGATGCATGGGGACGCATTTCCCCCACTCTCACCGACTCACCATTGCTTAGCATCCTACATCAGACTCACCCAGCCAGCAGTGCGCGCGGTATCTCAACCCCGCTCTCAGCCTGTCCCCTCCCCGAAACAGCACTTACCTTTAGGCCCCTACTTGAGATGCATGGGGACGCATTTCCCCCACTCTCACCGACTCACCATTGCTTAGCATCCTACATCAGACTCACCCAGCCAGCAGTGCGCGCGGTATCTCAACCCCGCTCTCAGCCTGTCCCCTCCCCGAAACAGCACTTACCTTTAGGCCCCTACTTGAGATGCATGGGGACGCATTTCCCCCACTCTCACCGACTCACCATTGCTTAGCATCCTACATCAGACTCACCCAGCCAGCAGTGCGCGCGGTATCTCAACCCCGCTCTCAGCCTGTCCCCTCCCCGAAACAGCACTTACCTTTAGGCCCCTACTTGAGATGCATGGGGACGCATTTCCCCCACTCTCACCGACTCACCATTGCTTAGCATCCTACATCAGACTCACCCAGCCAGCAGTGCGCGCGGTATCTCAACCCCGCTCTCAGCCTGTCCCCTCCCCGAAACAGCACTTACCTTTAGGCCCCTACTTGAGATGCATGGGGACGCATTTCCCCCACTCTCACCGACTCACCATTGCTTAGCATCCTACATCAGACTCACCCAGCCAGCAGTGCGCGCGGTATCTCAACCCCGCTCTCAGCCTGTCCCCTCCCCGAAACAGCACTTACCTTTAGGCCCCTACTTGAGATGCATGGGGACGCATTTCCCCCACTCTCACCGACTCACCATTGCTTAGCATCCTACATCAGACTCACCCAGCCAGCAGTGCGCGCGGTATCTCAACCCCGCTCTCAGCCTGTCCCCTCCCCGAAACAGCACTTACCTTTAGGCCCCTACTTGAGATGCATGGGGACGCATTTCCCCCACTCTCACCGACTCACCATTGCTTAGCATCCTACATCAGACTCACCCAGCCAGCAGTGCGCGCGGTATCTCAACCCCGCTCTCAGCCTGTCCCCTCCCCGAAACAGCACTTACCTTTAGGCCCCTACTTGAGATGCATGGGGACGCATTTCCCCCACTCTCACCGACTCACCATTGCTTAGCATCCTACATCAGACTCACCCAGCCAGCAGTGCGCGCGGTATCTCAACCCCGCTCTCAGCCTGTCCCCTCCCCGAAACAGCACTTACCTTTAGGCCCCTACTTGAGATGCATGGGGACGCATTTCCCCCACTCTCACCGACTCACCATTGCTTAGCATCCTACATCAGACTCACCCAGCCAGCAGTGCGCGCGGTATCTCAACCCCGCTCTCAGCCTGTCCCCTCCCCGAAACAGCACTTACCTTTAGGCCCCTACTTGAGATGCATGGGGACGCATTTCCCCCACTCTCACCGACTCACCATTGCTTAGCATCCTACATCAGACTCACCCAGCCAGCAGTGCGCGCGGTATCTCAACCCCGCTCTCAGCCTGTCCCCTCCCCGAAACAGCACTTACCTTTAGGCCCCTACTTGAGATGCATGGGGACGCATTTCCCCCACTCTCACCGACTCACCATTGCTTAGCATCCTACATCAGACTCACCCAGCCAGCAGTGCGCGCGGTATCTCAACCCCGCTCTCAGCCTGTCCCCTCCCCGAAACAGCACTTACCTTTAGGCCCCTACTTGAGATGCATGGGGACGCATTTCCCCCACTCTCACCGACTCACCATTGCTTAGCATCCTACATCAGACTCACCCAGCCAGCAGTGCGCGCGGTATCTCAACCCCGCTCTCAGCCTGTCCCCTCCCCGAAACAGCACTTACCTTTAGGCCCCTACTTGAGATGCATGGGGACGCATTTCCCCCACTCTCACCGACTCACCATTGCTTAGCATCCTACATCAGACTCACCCAGCCAGCAGTGCGCGCGGTATCTCAACCCCGCTCTCAGCCTGTCCCCTCCCCGAAACAGCACTTACCTTTAGGCCCCTACTTGAGATGCATGGGGACGCATTTCCCCCACTCTCACCGACTCACCATTGCTTAGCATCCTACATCAGACTCACCCAGCCAGCAGTGCGCGCGGTATCTCAACCCCGCTCTCAGCCTGTCCCCTCCCCGAAACAGCACTTACCTTTAGGCCCCTACTTGAGATGCATGGGGACGCATTTCCCCCACTCTCACCGACTCACCATTGCTTAGCATCCTACATCAGACTCACCCAGCCAGCAGTGCGCGCGGTATCTCAACCCCGCTCTCAGCCTGTCCCCTCCCCGAAACAGCACTTACCTTTAGGCCCCTGCTTGAGATGCATGGGGACGCATTTCCCCCACTCTCACCGACTCACCATTGCTTAGCATCCTACATCAGACTCACCCAGCCAGCAGTGCGCGCGGTATCTCAACCCCGCTCTCAGCCTGTCCCCTCCCCGAAACAGCACTTACCTTTAGGCCCCTACTTGAGATGCATGGGGACGCATTTCCCCCACTCTCACCGACTCACCATTGCTTAGCATCCTACATCAGACTCACCCAGCCAGCAGTGCGCGCGGTATCTCGACCCCGCTCTCAGCCTGTCCCCTCCCTGAAACAGCACCTCCACCTTGGCACTCGCGCGCTCCACGCCCCCCCCTCCGCCTCCGCGCCCCCCCGCGCCCCCCTTGGCCCCCCCCAACTCCCCCCGCAGCCGCGTGGTCAGAAAGTACCGCCGCCCCGAGCCTAGCAGGTCCGGCCGAGCCTCCCAGATCTCCGCCAGGGTAGCGTTGGGCCGAGCCAAGACCCCGAGCGTCCCAGGCACGTGGATATGCACGTGTCTGCAGGAACGGGGGAAGAGGGGGTTGAGGGGGGAGAGGGGTGGAAGAGAATTGTCAAGAACACCCTATGGCCAAGAGCGTGAGAGTCAAGTCACAAAGGCCAGGACCCCGAGCGTCCCAGGCACGTGGATATGCACGTGCCTGCAGGAAGGCAAGGGGGAGGGGGGAGGAGGGGGAGGCGCGTGAGGAGACTGGGAGAGAAAAAGAGGGACCTAGTAACCTTTCCGACAAGCCTATTAATTACTAATCTTTCCCGAAGCGCCTTACTCTTCCCCCTTGAGGTCCGGCCGGCCCATCCAATCGCTCGACACAGCGCGAACCACGCCGTCCGTCGCGCCGCCAGTCGCGGCGGGCTTCTCGCTGCCACTTGCGCCGCCATCGGACCGCTCAGCGCCGACAACTGCGCCGGATTTTGTGGCAGGTGATGGATTCTGAGGCTCGCGGTCCGGCGCCGGCTGAACCTGCGCCTTCCGCCGAAAGAAGTTCATGGTTCAGGAGAAGACTGGCTTAGTAAGAAGATGTTCAAATGCTCGAGTTGCTTTTAAGAAACTGGGAATGTCAGAAGTTTCGCCGAAAGAAGTTGCTGGCTTTGGAGGAAGGCCGGCTTAGGAAGAAGACTAGCTTAGACGATTTTTGAGGCGCCTCGAAGAACGTGCGCCTTCCGCCGAAAGAAGTTCGTGGTTTAGAAGAAAGACTAAATTAAGAACAGAACTGACTTAGGAGAAAGCTTCCAATGCTCGAGTAGTAGCTTTGAGAGTACTGAGAATACTCTAAAGTTGGTCGCCTGGTAAGAAGAGCTTCAATCATAGGAACGCCGGCGGGATATTTCGCATTCCGAAGCGTGCTTTGAGAGGACCGAAAACAAAAATTCTCACAACGAAGAGCTTTCGAAACCGCAATAGTGTGAACCTTTGACGTTACTGCTGTGTGGCGACCATCTGTGGACTCACTATGGCATGCACGTGATAAGAACGCATGGTCTTGTGCATTGAGTAGCCTAGTAGGTACCAGTGCACGTTCAATGTGGGGACACGGATTCGTGACAATGCTATGGTTAGTGATAATTTGATTCTGTCTGACACAATAGTGTCTGACACAATATACCAGCAGTTCCCGCCAGTTCCTCGCACACGCGCCGACGCTCAGTAGTGGCGATACTTTCGATAAATGAGTATTGGTGTAGAACAAGATGTTTCTATTTTCATTACACGTCAAACCTCATAAAGCATAGATCAGTACATTTGGTTCTGGGCTTCTTTTTATTACAGCGTGGCTGTGTCTGTTGTCCACACGCAGTTGATTTGCAGTACAGTACAGTACAGCTGATGCCTGTTTGAGCCCCTCCCGGTTGCCTTATGAAGGGGGCGTATAAGCTGTCACGAGCAGTTCGCATAAGTTTCGTCAATTCGCAGCTAGCTAAAAAGGATTCGCATGTGCTTATAAACAAGATCTGTTACCTCGTTTGACTTCAGTCTCTTCTGCTTGACTTCGGTATGTTCGTTACTATTGGTTGATAACCACGCGACGCGCTTGTAATGTAGGTGCATGAAGCTGGGGAAACAACCTCGGGTGCAGCGTATCCATCCGGCGCAAGGCAAATTCGCGTGCATGGTGTGAGCATCAGCTGTAACGTAAACGTGCCTCAAAACGGTCAATGTGGAAAGGAAAGACGCTGCTGTCATGTAACGTGCGCTACCGACGTCGTCGGCGTGAAAAAGTTATGTGGATGTGTGCAGCAGACACAAGCTCATTGCTGTAGCCGTTTCGTGAGTGTTTTTGTCGGCCATGAGATTCTTTGATATTTTTTGTACACCTCCACCATTTGGTGTCCCCACCCTTGCAGCACCATTCCCCAGCACACTTTCGAACTTCCGGAAAATGCAATACCGTAACGGGCTGTCTGCGAGTCAAATATGTGCTTGACTTTTCCGGCCGCATATCAAGACAAGAGCAGACTGTCGTTTGTGCTTTCCTGGGGGGAAAATGCTGCTGATGAAGACGACCTCTACCTTGGCACGTCTCTCGGCTCGGGCACCTTCAACACACCAGCATTTCTCACCTCATGTACTGTACAGCTGATGCCCACCCCATGCACGCGAACTTGCTCTTCACCGGATGGAAACCTGCACCGAAGTTTTTTCCCCAGCCTGTTGCACCCACGTTACAAGCGCGTCGCGTGGTTATGAACCAATAGTAACGAACAGGCCCAAGTCAAACTGAAGAGACTGAAGTCAAAATGTCAACGGATAAGGTTACAGATCCTTTATATAAGCACCTGCGAGTCCTTTTTAGCTAGCTGCGAATTGACGAAACTTATGCGAAATGCTCGATACAGCTTATACGCCCCCTTCACAAGGCAACCGGGAGAGGCTCAATCAGGCATCAGCTGTACGTCTACAGAACACCGTGTACGGACTGAAATGAAAGACAGCCGAGTATGAACTGTACATTTTGAAGTGGAAGAAGAATACAACACGCACAGTACAGTAAAACTGTGATGCAGCACTCAACTGTAGTCGGGCATTCGACGACTTTACAGTAAATGTACATGCGTGTACATCGTGCATTTGTCTTGTCCAAGTCATGGAATCCACGATGCCAACCTGGTTGTGTCGAGACTAGAAGAGCAGTGCCTGCGAATGCGATGCAACGGGGAGGCGGGGGTGGGGGGGGGGGGGGGGGGGTTGGGTGGGGGGGGGGGGGGGGGGGGGGGGGTACTGTATTGGGGTCATTGGCACAGTTCCAGTCTCCTCCCCTCCCCACAGTTGACATTGCGGCCAGTGAACAACATCCCAGGTCTCATTTCCCGTCAACAGCCCAGTTTCGTCCGTTTTCTGCACAACCGCAACTTGGCGCTGCCAGTCAATGGTGAAATGTGGAGAAGCACGCCTCGGCTCGGCGGAATTCAAGAGTGTCGGGCCAACATCATATACATGCAACATATTCTGGTAACCCTATGCAATGGTATGCAAAACCGTCGTACCTCGTTTTTAAAGGTATTTACATTTTGCTCTGGTAACGCGTTTGTTTTTATTTATTTTATTGATGCATAGCGGGCTTGTTTTTGCAAAAAGCTATGATTTCTTACGGCGACTGTTTCTGCCAGATCAACAACACTGTGCTCTACACTTGACCCAAGAAAAAAATAAAACCCGATCGGAAAGGGATGCGTCAGGGAGGCATCAACCCTAAAAACAAAGCCCTTTCCTGTGTTTAGGGTTCATCCATACCGGAAAGGCGTCCAGGTCCTTAGGAGTTTTATTTTTTATCCACGTTGCCCCAACAATTCCCGCGTAGCAATATATTAGGTGAAATGTATTGCTACAAAATGGACCCCGCATTTCCGTTGAATTTATCGTGTACATTTCGCGGAAAAAAGTCGCCCGCAGGAATCTTTGTTTGGCGCCGAACGGAGCGCCGTAAGAAACACAATTTTACGAAATCGATGACGCAACCACCTGTATTACATATTTCTTTTTTTTTGTTCTGTTTCAGCCGTTACACTGTGTTTTGAGTGGCGGTACCAGACAAACTTGCGCAGCAGTACTGCGGTATCGACGGTTTTGCATACCATTGCATAGGGTTACCAGAATGTTTTGCATGTATATGATGTTGGCCCGTTTCTGAACCTCCCGCGTCACGTCCGTCTGGTCTGGTGTCAGCGGAACGCACAAATCACGGGAACAAACCCCCCTTTTCCCTCATCCCTCCCCACTTTCTGTTCAACCGTTCACATGCGGGCGTGGCGAGCTCGCGAATTTTCAAATGCCCGTTTCGTGTTCGCACCGTCCCTTTCCCCCCTTGCGGCAGTCGTCGTTTTCCTCTCGTTCTGGCACCGAATGCAGCACCCCTCTTTCGCCATCCACGCTTTCGCCGTTTCCACCACCTTCCCCTCCTCCTGTAACAGAATGCAGGCGGACGAGCACAGTCGACGAAAAAAACAGCGCTGCTCGTTTCATCGCTGATGCTTGTAAGGTTACAATTGGTGACCCCACCGACCCATTGCCTGGCTAACTCCGATTGGCTGCGACGTTTCATCTGCCTCCCCTTCTCTCCACAGTTTCCCGCCGACCGCAGCAGCCCCACCTCTCGTGGCCTGTACAGCACGTTACGTTCGTTGCCTGCAGCGTGCGGAGACCTTTGCATCAACGTGCCCACCGCCTCCCGTCAGTTTAGGAATCTAGAGTTGAGAAAACGGACGTCCTTTTGCGCTGATACTGTACATACACAGGTCCCTCACTCACAGAAAGTCCCTTCTGAGTTCAAGAGTCTTGATTCGGATCCCGATTCCTCCTAACGCATTTGGAATCCGAATTTCTCCTCCTAGTTCACATAACATGCAGACCAGTGCGGCTCCGTTGTCGTCGTCGTCGTTTGCGCATACATTGATGCATCGTCTCACCCCACACCACTGTACTTTACTTCACTTCACCGTATTGTACCCCAGCGCACCCAACGCCTCTCTGGCCTTACAGCCATGCATTGGTCACCCATCACCACCGACAGCCCCTTGCAGTTTTCTTCTCGAAACTGTTGCAACGACCTTGCGACACGACAGGACGGACGGGACGTCTCTCTCAGACTCTCAGCGTCAGCAGAGGGAGCGAGCGACTTTCAGCAGCAGCCTCGGTGCAAACTTTCAGGCAGGCTTCCCGCATTATTGTAACGAAGATCGTTCTTGGGTCCTGGCTCGCCCCGCGCTCCTGTCCCGTCCCATCCCGTCCCCTCCTCACCCACCTCGATCTGCGGGTAGAATGCCTCGAAGTCTCCGCGCAGATCCGCCACCTTCCCCAGGCGTGTAATAAAAGCGCGCGATACACCAAGCTTTCTCATTCCACTATTCTAGGACCCGAAGTTGCGCGTTATTCATTCACTACTCCTCGATTGAGTCGTATTATTCGTCTCTTAGAGATAACTGCCTAGTTACTCGTCTTCCCTCTATATCTCAAATAGCTGGATCAAGGCGACTCGGTTAGCTGGGAAAGTTTTCCAGCCCTTCGACATTAAAGCCTGGACTTGGGAGTAAAACGGTATCCTCAGGATCTATTCATCGATCTGCTCTCTCCAGCTCCCGTGCGAAACTCGGAATCAGCTAGTAACTTTTAAAACGCCTTCTGAATTACTCGAGCATGGCTTTGGCTGCTCGATCACCCTCCGACGGCCTGCTAGCCGGCAAATCTGCCGGCCGGCGCGCTCTGCCGGTGCTCCGTCAGGCCCCTGTTTCGCTCCTCTGCGCCGTCGACTCCGCCGCGTCCAAACGTGCGGGCTTCCACGAAGCTTCCAACTCGGCAGTCTTCAAGGCCAAAACCAGCCTATCAGCGGCCGACTTGCTCATGCTTCTCAGCCCCACGGTAGCAAGCTCCGCGAATATCGGCGCGATTAACGGCGGTCCGTACGCGTGCCGCGAGTGCTCCAACAAGTTCCCGTCGCTCCATTCGCTTGACTTTCACTACCAGACATTCCACGCTAAGGACAAGAAAAACCGCCCGGTTGACCGCGCCGTGGGCGGCAGCAGCGACAGCGCGGAACCTGCCGGAAGCGGCTCGCCCGCGCCGAGCAAGAGCGGCACGCCGCCGCCCACGCGGGTTGCGGGCCGTCGTGCGCGCCTGGCGGCGTCGCAAGAAACTCTGGGGGAATCTGGAAGCGCCGGCAGCGCCGCAGCCGCTGCGGCTTCGCAGAGCCTGCGACGATCGCCGTCGCTGTCGCCGTCGCCATCTGCGACGACGCTTCCGTCGTCTGGCGCCGGCGAAGATGTCGCCGCGGGTGCGATGGCTACGGCGACTGGCGGTGCGAAGTCGTCGCCGCAGCAGCGGCGTGGCGCGAAACGGAGCCGTGCCGACAGCCAGCCGGGGGGTACGAATCCGTCGGCACCTGCAACGAAAAGGGGTGGCAGGCGCTGCGCCGGTGTCACTTCCGAGAAGCTTCCTGTGCGCGTGACGGAGCTCCGCGGCTGCGCCGCAGGGGCTCAGATCGCGACAATGGATGCCAGCCGATCAGAGTCGGTTAAAGTGGAGATGCAACGACTCGGGCGTCACGGACTCGCGGGGAAGAAGTGGCAGCCGCCGAGTGTTCTTGTAACGGGCGGAGCTGATAAGACGGTGGGTGATGTGCGCGCTGACGGAGGCGCGCTTACTCCGTCGGAGTCGTCAGCAGTCCCTCAGCCACGTCGGATCGGCGCGCTCGCAGGGTCCTGCCTTACTCTGACGGACCGAATGAACTCGCTGACGTCATCACTGACGGACTTGACGGCCGCGGGGAGCAATCCGGTTAGCCCAACGACCCCTACCAACGTGCCTCTGTTTGGGGGAGCATCTGGTGCCGCAAGTGACGGCTGCAATGGCGGCGGTTTCAGTGCTAAGGTTGCGGCGCACGCATCTCAGCTGCAGCAGCTGATGGCGCTGGTGATGCAGGAGCAGGAGAAGCGGGGGAGGATGGCGCGGGTACCGGAGCAGACTATAACGGAGCACATTGTAACGGAGCAGAGAGTCAAGCAGCCTGAGCCGAACCGCCTGCAGGCAGGACAGTCAGTGGCAGCATCAGATGCTAAGGGAATTACCTCCTTAAATGCATTATTGCCTATGCAGCCTCCCCTACTAAGCAACGGCTGTCTAGCCCAAAGGCCTTCGGCTTCCCATGCATCTGCTCCTGCACTCGCCACAGTTCGCCAGGTGGTAACCAGTGTAACCCCTGGTGCGCCTGCTGCTGATTCCCCATCGTTTTTGGCTCTGAATTCTGCTGATGGGCGGCAGGGAGCGTCGAGCACGGCACAGGGACCTGGTGACGTGGCAGGGAGCCAGCTCAGCATGTTGGTGGCTGTGCTGGCATCGAGGCTTAGTCAGCAGAAGGCACCAGTAGCAGCAGGAGAGGGAGCAGTAATAACTCAGCAACTTGGAGAAATGGAGCTTCTAAAATTTGTCCGGGGGCAGGGGGTTTCAGGGGCTGTTTCTGTGGCTCAATGCAGAGACGTAGACCTGGATTTAAGACTGTAGGATTCTACTGTAGCTTGTGCTAGGTAAATCTTCTGTCTGTACAGTTCTGCACAATTGTACATGTTCAAATAATGACTTCAAAGTTACGGTACACGTAGTATTACTTACGTTGAGTTGTTCATACAGCAACTGGAGTACATGAAAGAGAGGGAGATAGAGAGGTGTAAGGCGGTGAGGTGTTGGGTGGAAGATGGTGAGATGTTGAGTGGTGGGGTAATGGTGAGTGCAAGAAAGAGAGGAGGGTGAGTGCAAGAAAGAGAGGAGGGTGAGTGCAAGAAAGAGAGGAGGGTGAGAGCAAGAAAGAGAGGAGGGTGAGTGCAAGAAAGAGAGGAGGGTGAGTGCAAGAAAGAGAGGAGGGTGAGTGCAAGAAAGAGAGGAGGGTGAGTGCAAGAAAGAGAGGAGGGTGAGTGCAAGAAAGAGAGAAGGGTGAGTGCAAGAAAGAGGGGGTGAAAATACCGTACCTTAAGTGGAACTTGGGTACAAAGAGTGTGTGGTCAAAACCGCTCCCGGGTGGGCTTGAACCACAGACCTTATGGTTAACAGCCACACGCTCTAACCAACTGAGTTACGAGAGCTGTTACATGAAGAATAAAATACAAAATGTTTCAAATAATTCCCTTTTTTTTTTACATCGCACAACAGCTGATTGTCACTCTGTTTTGCTCGCCGAGTCATGGCGACAGGTGAAGCCGGTATTGTCGAGTTCCTAGACGGCACAAGCGATAAACACGGCGGAAGTCACGGCGGTAAAGGAAAGAAGCGGCAGCGCAAGCAGGTGTCTTCGTCGTCCTCGTTACTAGACCGCTTCGATAGTGGCAGCGAGGATGAGCAACAAGGAGGTAAAACGCGTAAGCGCGGCGTTCACTCGACCACAAACGGAGACGCTTTTAATGGTGCAGAGAAGAAACCAGGGAAGAGGAAAATCTCACCGGAAACGGGGGCAGCAGCAGGATTGTTAGGAGACGGAGGTGACACTAACGAGGAGCGAGGTGTAGACGAGCGAGGGGCGCAAGGAAGTGCCTTAGAGGCGGGACCGGTTGTTGCACAAAAGGGGGAGATTGCGGGGGCAAAGGGGAAGGGGACGGGGGGGGCTGCGGGGGAAAAGGGGAAGGGCGCTTCCCCAACTGCGCGCAAGAAGGGGGTTAAGGGACAGGGTTTATCCGGATCTCCTTCGGAAGAATTAAAGGGAGAAGGGTTGGGAGATGGAGGGGAGGGGTTTGCGGAATATGTAGAGGAGGATGAGGAAGAGAGGGTAGGAGAGAGTGAGGGAGAGGAGAGTGAGGGAGAGGAGGGGAGTGAGGGTGAGGAGGAGATTCAGGAAGAGGACGGAAGTGAAGAGGATGAGCCAAGCGAAAGTGGGAGTGAGGAAGGAGAGGAGGGAGAGGAGGAGGAGGAGGAGGAGGAGGAGGGGGATGGGGACGGTGAAGGAGCAGCAGGATCAGCAGCAGCGCCATCGTCATCTTTCGCCACGGCCTTCGCGAGCATCATGGCGAAGAAGGTCCCTGTTACCGGCAAGGTGAGCGTGATTGCCACGGGGTTTAGGGCTTTGAGATATTGGTGGGATTTTGTCCTCAGGTCAACGGAGTCAACTGGGTCAACTGGGTCAACTGCCTTCGCGAGCATCATGGCGAAGAAGGTCCCTGTTACCAGCAAGGTGAGGGCGACATGTCGCGGGGTTGAGGGCTTTGTTCACCTCCCCCCATTGGCCCCCCTATGATCCATCCCCACCCCATCTCCCCCCCTTTCTCCCCTTCTTTCAGGCGCCCATCCTAGCAGCGCGCAAGGAGCTGCTGGAGGAGGGGAGGGGGAGGAGGGGAAGGCCGTCCCCTATCCGCCTTCCCACTAATCCGCCCTCCTTCTGCCCTCCTTCTGCCCTCCTTCTGCCCTCCTTCTGCCCTCCTTCTGCCCTCCTTCTGCCCTCCTTCTGCCCTCCTTCTGCCCTCCTTCTGCCCTCCTTCTGCCCTCCTTCTGCCCTCCTTCTGCCCTCCTTCTGCCCTCCTTCTGCCCTCCTTCTGCCCTCCTTCCGCCCCCTTCCTCTCTCCCCCCCTCCCCCAGGCGCCCATCCCAGCAACGCGCAAGAAGCTGCTGGAGGAGAAAAAGGCAGCGGCGGCGGGGGATATTACTTAATCTCCTCCCTTCCTTTCTTTCTCATGTATTGAATTTCCTGCTCCTGTGCCCATCCCCCCTTCCCCCCTTCCCCCTTAATCTCCTCCCTTCCTTTCTTTCTCTCGCCCTCACCTCCCTCCTTTATCCCCCCCCCCCCTCTCCCCTCACCTCCCCATTCCCCAGGCGCCCATCCTAGCAGCGCGCAAGAAGCTGCTGGAGGAGGGGAAGGCAGCAGCAGGAAAGCACCACCCCTGTACGCTCTCCCCTCATTCCCTCCTGCTTCCCCTCCCCCCTGAACCCTCCCCCAGGCGCCCATCCTAGCAGCGCGGAAGAAGCTGCTGGAGGAGGGGAGGGCTTCAAAGGCAGAGGCAAAGGCCAAGGCGGTATCTGCGGCTGAGAGGAAACAGGCCAAGCTGATGGTGAGTGGAGTGCTGAGCGGTGCAGTACGGTGCAGTGCAGCGCCAGTTTCTTGTACCTGTACATACTTTATGTTCCCGAAAGGAGAGGTTGAGGAAGGGGAAGGGAGGGGAGGAAGACGCGAAGGCCGAGGCGGTATCTGCGGCTGAGAGGAAACAGGTGAGGCGTGGAGGGGTAGGCAAATGCCAATCCAAGGTAGTTTGTAAGGCTGATCCAGCATGGAGAAACAGGCGAGGGTGATGGTGAGTGCGTGGAGTGGAGTCGCTTTTGAGAATTCTCAAAAGTGATGGTGAGTGCGTGGAGTGGAGTGCCTGTGTTTGGCCAAGCATCTCTGTCAATGCTTATGTTGCTGAAAGATAAAACGTTGATGGGATGGGAGGGGTAGGCAAAGGCCAAGGTAGTTTCTAAGACTGAGCCGGCACCATTCCTCATTCCCTTCCCATCCCCCCCCAACCTTCTCCTTCCCCTTTTGATTGATTCCTCTTCACCAACCCCGTGTGCCACACACCAGGAGAGGGAAATGGCACATATGCTGCCCAAACCGTTTCACTAGCACCATTCAGTATTTTCTTTCCCCCTCCCCTGCTTCCTTGAACCTTCCCCTCCTCTTCCGCCTCAACCCCCCCATGTGCCGCACACCAGGAGAGGGAGATGGCACATGTGATTCCAGAACCGTTCCTTG